AAAAAGCTTTGTATCGTAGCTGAATCCTTTTTTGAGTCTCATAGCTTTTCCTTGTGAAATTTTTTGTGCACCACTTTTGGTTGAAGTCTTCTTTTTCTTCCTTCGTTCTACGTATGTCCTCCTCATTGCTTCACATCACAGAGCAAATCGCTTAGTGAACTCTATACTTTGGACTTTTAAATATATTACATTTAGCAATAGCTTGTGCTTAGGCAAAAACATGACCAGCTTCAAGCAAAAGCTAAGTAAAAAGACATCAGGGCAGGTAAAAATCTTATGAATACCGTCAAGAGAAAATATAACAAGAATATAATAAATATAATAATATATTTCCTGAAGGAGTGTGTTTGGGCTGCGGTGACAAAAATGAATTCATAATTTTGATGGTTTTGGAGTACTCGCCTGAATATTTATTCTTTCCCACAAAGCAAATTGCCGAATATTTATTCTTTCTGAAAATTCAAGGCAAACAGATCAACGCGTGGGTATACTTTTTTGCCTCGCATTTCCTTTTTGAGCTAATTTATTTTTTTGCACTTTTATCAGCCGGCCCTTAAACCGACCGGCCCTTCGGGCGATCGCCCGAATTGCCCGACCGGCCAGTCCGCGCCCCTGGTTCTATGCTAATCATTTAGAGGCTAGTTATTTCGTGCTAGTCCTTCAACAAACCATGCCCTGGTTGGTTTAACAGAGGCCACAAAAACGTGCTGCACATACGCCAAATACATTTCCCACTTGTCTCCTAGCTCTATAAATTCTGTAATTGGCTATCTGTTCCTTGGGGCCTATTGATGCTCTAGCATGTGGCTTCATCAAATACTCCCTGAGCGGAAAGGCTTCGTCCCGACTAAAAACAAAAGGGAAATGTTTTGCTGTTGCTCGTAAAGGCCTTGGCTGTGGTATGTTGAGTAGGTTCTCCTCTGTTGCTCGTCCTAAAGAACTTGCTGAAAATACGCCACCATCACTCTGTCTACCAGAATCACCAATATCTACCAAAATAAATTCATTGCTTGAATTAACAACTGCCATCAAGACAATGCTGTGTGTCTTTTTGTAGTTCAAAAAATAAAACCCAGCACGTGCAGGGACTTGCATGACCAGATGCTTCCCATCAATGGCCCCAAAACAATTACCAAAGTTCCATATTCTCTCAAATTGTTCTGCAATGTCTGTCCATTCTTCATTGGTTTCTGGCACTTTAAGGTACCCTTTCAGTGACAACGCTTTCCAAATAGCACCAGTCTCCCTCACAATTCTTGAAATTGAAGATTTGCTTATCCTGTAGCTTGCTGAAATGGTAGATTGAGCAACATCAGTTACTAAGTACCTCAGTATAACGCATAGCCGTTCACTTGGACTTATGGCTTCTCTTTTGGCTGACGTTTACAAGATGTATGGTGCAACAAAGGAAAGTAGCTCTTCAAACTTAGCAGGAACCATGCGAAACTGTTTAAAAAAGTATTCTTCGTCAAAGATTTGCATGTCCCTCACAAGCAAATGATATTCCCTTTTTAATTTATGCTCAGCATAAAGATTGCGAACCCAAATTTTTCTTTTTGAACAATTCTTTCTTCTCAAACGCCTTTTTAAGAGCACGAGCAGTAAAACCTTCTGTCTTGTGAGCGCCGTGTTTGTTATTTTCCCGCCATTCATTCGCCGAGTCGCAGATCTGCCCATTTGCCAGGGGCGTTGCGAACAGGGGGGGGGGGGGGGTGTGGGTGGTGCCACACACACCTACAAGTATCTCAACAGGAAATTTCAGGTAAAACCCGCTCGGTGGAAGAAACGCTTTAGGTATTTTAGAGACCTTCATGTTATAAAATCAATAAAGGATCAAGCAAAGGTAGTTGCTCCGTTGGTTAAATATGATATTTCTTGATATGAATGCAGGTAAACAAACTAATGATTTGAAGATTTGAAAATTTCTTGTTGGCACCAAATCAAAAAATCCAGGCCCTCTTTAGGTAAAATTGTGTCTTGTATCCATTTCCCCTAAGGTTTCTCGGTAGAAGCGTCAACTGCAAATCACTATGAGCTTCAGTTTTTTTAACATTCAAAAAGCATGCTAAGAAGGAGAGAGGGATCTAAATTGACAACCAGTGCTGCTTGTTCCGATATAGAGATTTGGCAAAACTGTTAGGAAAATTCCGTTATTATCAAATTAAAATGAAAGTTGCGAATTATATACAGATTTAGATTGACAAAATGCATTGCAGAGGTTTGTGACAGCAACTAAAGAATTTTAGGCAAATTTTTTTAATCAAATAAATTTGTAGTCCACAAACCCCCCACACCCCCTCCAACAAGGCTTGCCTCGCGACGGCCGTGCCATTCGCCCACTCGCACATTCGCCCCTTCGCCAGGTCGCGCGACCAGTGCGAATCAAGTGGAAACCGGCCTTTACAGTCAAACCACAGTACTTTTTCTCAAGCTATACGCGACCAGTCGCTCAGTAGTTGAACTGAGTTGAACTACTCGGCGAATGGTTGCGCATTCGCAGCGAATAAGGAAGTTCCATTTGCGCATGCCCTAATGTGTATTCGCTCAGTCGAGCGACCAGAGCGAAAAAAGCAGGTTTGCCAACTTGGCTTTTTCTAAGCCAAATTTCAGAAATTTGGCTTTTTCAGAACATGTTTGGCTTTGAAAAAATGATTTAGCTTAGAGCTAAAATTTGGCATAATTTGGCTTTTTCAGAATGTTTTTCAATTATAAACTTGATTTATCAATACAAATTAATTGAATGGCAACAGTTAAATAATAAGATCCTTGACATTAAATAGAACATGCGAGCCTTTAGGGTTACATCGTATTTCTATCAAGAATGGGTGGTTTTTTTCAAAATCATATTTCATATGATGTAGTTGTCTGCATTTGTAGTTTACCTTGCCTCCTCAGCAAACTCACATCTGTAAAAAACCCGATGCAATTATTTAGAAAGCACCAGGTGCAATCTGTTTACTGGTATATGGCAGGATTTTAAGGCCACTAGAGCGAAATAAAAAAGATTCACTTCTTTTTTGTCTTTAGACATAGTCGTCCTTTTTCAAAGCTTCATACTTGCATGCTTAATATCAACAAAGTAATAAAGTCGACGAAATGGGTGTAGCCAGAGAGATTTTTTGCGAGAGGAGTTCAGCGGTATGCTTAGATTATCGCAATTCTATTTAGTTTATAAAATCCTTTCATACGGGTAGTAAAAATAATAATAATACAGTAATAATAATATAAATATTTACAGAGGAAGGCCTCAGTCACTCGGGGGTGCTTGTCATGAGGGTCCTCTATTTAACTAAATGTATCGATTTACTAAAAAAACATTATAATTAAAAAGTTCATCATATTAAGAGTGGATAAAATCAGTTCACATTGTCCAAAACCTTTGTTTAAAAATGGTGAATAATGATATGTTAAATGTGCTTTGTTGTTCTCTCTGTAATTGTTGATGACATCGTATCAGCCTCTTTTTCAATTATGAGTGATTTCTATTGTTCTGTAGCCTCGTTTTAAAATTTAGCCTTTTGGCTTTATTTCATTACCCATTTTTTGGTTTTTGGGACCTGGCAACCCTGGAATAAAGTGGAAAACCGCCTTTAAATGAGCGCGTGATTGTCTTCACGCTCGCTGAAAATTGAAAACAAACCAATTTTGAACGAACATGGCATAGGAACGAAAGGATGAAAGAGGGAAAAATGTTTTCTATTCTGGACAAGCTCTCACTAATGAGGGTTAGCTAGTAGTATAATTCTATCATACATAGGTTTGAATACCATTCTATTCATTTTATAACGGGAAAGTTTAGCATCTAATACCTAGTTTGCCTAGAAGAAGTCGGTTGGGAGCGGTTCGAAACTTTATCTTTGACCGATTCTATTCTTTCTTGGTTATATCAACCTTTTTAATTTCATCGACGTGAGTAGCCATTACCGCTAGGCAGAATCTTGCTTTGTGCCGAAAAATCCCCAATCGACCGAGAGCTTTAACAATCATTTTCGGATTTTACATGAAAAATTTTCGGATTTCACATGAACAATTAATTGTTCGTTGATGACCATCGAACCGTAAAAATACTAGGTTACCAAAAATTCAATCGTACTGGTTTCTCTCGCTTGTTTCTCGCAACATGTATGTGATATAAAGCATGTAAAACCATTTTTCGGTAGAACTTTTGTCCCCACTTCATATGACCAAAAAATTTTTGCAATTGTCGGGGGTCGAAATTTGTGGCATAATCCCTTTCAGCTGAAATTGCTTAGTTTTGTATATGACTCTGTCAAAATCTAAAATCTACTCTGCTTGCTTTCATTCTTTCTTTCCATTAGTTGAATCTGTTCAGCAATATGGTACGTGGCATGCCACCAACAACAGCATTTTCGTATATCATAAAAACGTATTGAAATATGGTCTCAGGTCAGTACGTTACCACGGAGCAAAATGTTGGAACGACATTTCTGTAGAAACGAGAAGTTCACCATCTGCTATAATATTTTCAAAGCTTTTTCTTTGAACAAAATTACCAACAATAGAAGTGACAACATTTCTGCGAAATTCATATAAAGTTTGAAACTACTGTAAATCCTCAAATCAGCCCCCTCGAAACCTCCCCCCCCCCCACGAATAAGCCCTCATCATTGAACTACGAATTGTCAACAATCCCCCCTCGAATAAGCCCCCACTGCTAACGTAAATTCCCAAACTGGACCTCTCAATTTGATTTTTTTTGCCATCTGAGGTCTCGCCTATTGCGTTTTTTTAATTACCACAACAAATTCATACTTTTTGTAGTAATTAATTAAATGCTCATAAAGAAATTTCCACTAAAATAAACGAGGTATTTTAATAATGTCTTCTTAATGTCAACAATGATTCTTTAAGCCCCCCCCCCCTCCTCGAATATGCCCCCCTCGAATAAGCCCCCATCCAAAAATATCAGAAACAAATAAGCCCCCAGGGGGCTAATTCGAGGATTTACGGTATTGCAATTTTCAAAATAACACTCAAAATAACAATGGAAAAAAAGTCCCACGTGCATTACAGGACATGCGAAGGAGCGTCCTCCGATCATGCTTGCCTGGCCTAAGTTGATGTTTTGAGTAGAGAAGAGGCGACGGGGACAAGATTCTCAACGATGAACCTGAGGTACATTGTCATGCAATTTGATTATCGGGATACGGGGTCTTTGCCCCTAATGTTGTCCTTAAGTCAGGGCCTAGGCCTAGTAGCTACTTAAAGTTAGAAACAGTTTTATGTCACCCGAAGTAAAAGCTGATAAAATAATTGTATTTGCTACTCCAAGGATTACAAGGGACGTAACAGAGGCGCAGAACTAAAGGAGGATGCATGCATCTGCCCTTTATTTCCAATTTCAAGCATAAAGGTACATAAACGATAATACCATATTTTTAATAGAAGTCAACATGATATAAAAAATAGACACAATTTTTGACTTAAAAACATTAAAACAGAGATGGCTGCCTTCTACATTGAAAAAATGAACTGATTTTTAACAAAAATTATGGCTAGAAGGAAGGAAAATAATCTTTCAGCAGCCTTGATTCTCTGAGATCTTCCAAGTCAAGATTTCTAATTATTGAAGATTGTGCATTTTCAATAAGGATTGCGATTTAATAAGTAATTGTTGATGTAAATGCTATTCCTTGGAAGCAAAACATTGTTTTGAAATGATATTGCGTTAACTTACCATCTTATCAAATTGTAACAGGTTTGAAATGCATTAGCACTAGGCTCAATGTGTTGCTCTTGGCAGCTGAAATAGTTGGAATGCTAAGCACTTTTGTAGTAGATGGGTAAGGCATGAAAATGCCTTTATTATTCCTAAAACTTTTAAGGTTTGCTGTTACTATACCTTGTCAAACGGAAAGCAGTGTAAAAATGTTTTTCAATATTTGTATGACATAATTTTCATATTTCTGAAGAAAAAAGATAGTTATCTACCATATGAACTTATGAACTATGTCTATAAAATTTATCCAGAAAACATCAACATCATTTTGTTTTGTAAATGTATCCAGTTTTTAAAAAGTATGACATTGACAGTTATTCAGAGTCCCTTAAAAGAAGGGACAAGAAAGAATATTCTCCTATATCATATACTGAGAAAAATCCTTTTGTTCAAATAATATTTCTTTCTTTGCTTTTGATAAGCGTAGATTGGTTTTTCTGAAATCAACAACTTTAATGGATATATTTCAAATTTATTCCAAACAACACAATTTGAATGACGAGATTACTTTGGTTGTCAATATTCTCCAAATGATAATTATTGTTCTTGAATGGTCAGTATTGTTTAACAATGGCCAAATGTTCTTGAAATGTATTCTTGTTCTTAAATAAGTGACCTTGAAAAAGAAGCTTTTCTGTATTGCAGCCAAGTATGAGAATAGCTAGTTCTAAACTGTATTGAAAGTGAGATACCGAAAGTTAGAACTGAAAAAATTGCGCTTTTCTCCAAGCAATTAAGCATAGTAATTTTTTTCTCACATGTTTATTCAAAATATTAATATGATACATCACAAGCAAAAAGCAAGTTACTCACTGCTGTTTTTAAAATTTGCAATGCATCAGTTTTGTTTATGATTGTATACAGGTCTAAGTAATTTTTCTGTTTACCAAATAATGATCTAATTTTTCCTTTTTTATTTTTCAGTTGAAAATGATTGTTCTTTGGTGTCAGCCTGTCATCTGACTTGATCCAAGAATTAAAAATCTCTTTTGCTTACAACATGGATGCAACAGTTGAAGACACACAACTGCCAGAGGGTTGGGTTAAGTGCTTCTCTAAATCTCAGTCTGGGATGGTTTATTTTTTTAACACTCTGACAGGTGAATCACTTTGGGAGCATCCTGAAGCTGTATTGCTCAATGAAAAGGTATTTAACATGCCACCTTTTATCACTGTTTTTATTATTTCCTTTCAAAAATGGCTGTTTGATCAGCAAAACTTCATAATGTTCCCCTTTGCATTACCATATTTCTTTCCATACTTATATACCATATTTCAAAATTATATTTTATCACCATTTCCCTTGCTTTTGAGAGCACAGTGTTTAAGCAGAACTGCAATTTCAGAAACTTTACCAAGAGGCCTAACTTAATTACACCCTACATTTAATATGTATCACAACTCTTTCAAAATTTAAAGACTTTTTATGCTGTGAAAAATGTTTTGCCTTTTTCATTTTTATTAGAATTTTCACATGAAATATGTTTTAAAGATTGTTGGGATTTGGAAAAAGTTTAAAACTATAAACCCTTTAGATTTAGTTTGCTTTTTTATACTGACTTGGTGATTTTAAAAATTTGAAAGCAGCTTGCAAGAAGCTGTTAAAGATTGTTATTTTGACAAGAATAGGGATAAATATTATCAAGAATTTACAGAAGTTTTTGGATGCTAAAGAATTACAGTTTCTTGTTTGCAAAAGTTTTTCTTTACAAGAACTATGAATAATATACGAAAGGGTCTCTAGACGGAAGATTTTTGCAAAGGCACTATAACATGTAAACTTCAATGACTCCTGTTTGTATTGTTGAAAGATATCATAACTTCCTTTGGCAAAGCTCAGTTTTCAAAAATTAGCAAAGGCAAAACCAGAAAAGTTATCTATAAGAAATAAAAATTTTCAAGCTGCCAATGAAAAAATTGGCCATTGATAACCAAAATTAGTCATCCTAGTTTTCTCTCTATCCTATACAGTGAACAATGCAGCACATGTAAATATTTAATGACATTGCGATTTTCTTTGTTGGTTAGGTAATATTTATTTGAATCGCAATAACTTGATAAACTATGTATATGGATATTAAAGCCAATTTGTTTACATAACAGCAAAATTTGCAAAAGAGTTCTAGAACTAAAAACGGTAAACTCGCAAGAGCTTTGCAATTTTTTAGAGATGCCCAAACGAATTCAATTTTTAGACTCACATTTGCATAACGAATAAAGTTACAGAATCAAACTATTACACTCTTTTTTTATAAGAACCAGTAAATTTAAGTTCAGGCTGACTGTTCTTAATTTTTTTGAAAATCTGAGGTGGGATTGTTCTTAATTTGCTCTTAATCTAATAGGGTGTAAGCAGTGCGAGTGCTGGCTTTTTCGCTCTAGGGAGGTGTCCATGCCTCATTTGCCAACAAAGTGAGTTAGACAACCTTAATTTGCCGAAAAGTTTAAATATTCGACGAAAAAGCACCCACACATCGCTAAAAATCCTCGATTTTGAGAAAAAACGTTGTTTAAAATTGCATTTTGCAGCAGCTCAGCCTCAGCTTGTTCTTAATTTGTTCTTAACTTTTGACCAATTTTGAGGCACGTGTTCTTATAAAATTGTTCTTAAAAGAGTGTAAGTTTCAAATATAGTTTACTTATTCAACGAAAGCGCTTATGTTCCTAATCTTAGCTTCTTTTTACATGGCAATATAATGTCTGATAAGAATTGAAATCTATAATTTCGCAGTTCTCTCAGAAAACACCTTTTATCTCGTGGCGTCGTAAATCTTCGGCCTGTCAACCCTTAGTAAATTTATTGCTGTTCTTGTACGGAAATCTTTTTACACAGCGCCAAAGATGCACTCATTGAGCAGCCGACCATTGATGCAATTTCGCCCGTTTATGTCTCAGGGTTTAAAAGGTCTTACAAATCTTATGGCATGAAATTTCCCAAATACTTTTTGAACGCTAGGCGTGTGAGCAGTTGGTACCCTAACACCCCCCTCCCCCACCTTTAACCTGGAGGACTGCTTATAACAAATATTGTTGGACGGTGATCGGACTCGTAAGCTCGTCAACCCTTGTTAAAATTTCTTAACGAAAAGGCCAAAATGTCGCACGCGATTCCCCCAAAACATTTCTGGTATATAGGTTTAATCTTTGTGTTCCAACAATTTAAACCACAATGACTTGGCGATTGTAGTTTAAACCAATAAACCAATACTCCGATTTAATCTCAAGTCTTTTTTGGATGATGTGTTTGGAAGTTTAGAAGCTTCGATGCTGTGCCTTGATCGGCTCTTTGCTTAGGCCAATAAAGTGTAGCAGGAAAACTGTTCGAAATATGAAATCGAAGGTCGAAATCCGACCCATGCTTTACTTTTCGACTGATTCATTTTGAAATAGAATCTAAACTATTTGCCTAATGATAAATCATTTATATCTCTGTTGTTGTTTACGATGTGACGAAATAATGGTTGAGTTATGAAGTTGATATTTTAGGCCTTTTTCTTTGTGTGTTTCATTGATATCAAATAAATCTTATTTGCTTATTTTGTTATTGTCTCTTGCGCAACCAGCATGCTTGGCGACAGCTATCTTGGGAAGTTGACTGTGTTTTGTATTTTCATGAAGTACAATATTAGACCGGTTTTGAAAATATAGTCGCAAAGCATGACGGTTGTGAAAGGGCCTTTAAGCTTCAATGGGTTTCTTTTTTCTTTTTGAAAGAACACTGCAGCTGCTTTTCTGTATCTTCATTTTGTAATGTTATGTTGTTTACTGCGCGGTTCAGTTATTTTTATTGATAACAATTATTACTTCTTGTATCTTCTTGTTATAATAACTTCTCATATAAAGTAAAGTGCGATCTTATGCTTTACTAGACGTAAAGTAAAGATAAATATCTAGATTTTTCTAGATATTTTTCTTTGCTGGTATAAAAGCTTGTATGTTTATAGACTACGCAAAACTCTAGTTTGAATTCTAACACGCTCTCCTTTTTGGTTAACTTAAAAAATGATAGGCTCCTTTTGTTTACTGGATAACTATTTGAATAAATATAAAATAAATTAAATCCACGATAAGAACTTGTAGCTTGCAGATACCGTGGATTCTAAAATCTTTTTTCAGGATTTTCAACGATACCTGCACTTTTGTAAGATATAATCACTCTTATTTTCCACACATCGTTGAACTGTTTAATCTGTCCAGTTCATATCTCATTTAAATTTCACTTCATTATTTTAATCTAAATTAGTAAACTCGATGGATTTATGAAGACTAATAGCACCATAAATACGACAGAAAGTTGTTTAGATAATAATGAACAGAGGGGCTTAATGTTGTAGGGGAATTTGTGGAAGGAGGAGCTTTCTCAGTAGCTCGAATGTCAATGGTGATAAACATCCGCAATGACGAGAAGCTCCGCTTTTCTATCGATAACATTACTTTAGAAGAGAGATCGAACCTTCTGATTGAATTACTGCCCGAAAAAGTAGAAGGCTGCTCTTCCTTTGCTGCTATGAAGCCGGAATTTGTCGACACGAAGGAAAATTAGCAGCCTCAGTTGATTGCATGGTTATTTACGTGCCTCGACCGGTTTTAAGATGTTTCATTTTTTTTAATATATCCCTGAGTTTCTTCGTTAGAATATTACCTGTAACAAAACTAAATTCTAAAGAGCTATTCTAAGCCTTTCAAAGCGACTGAGAAGTTGAGGTATGTCTTTAAATTCTGTTTTATTAATGCTATAAATATTATAAACTTTAAGAGTCTTTTGACAGTAGTCAGCTCTGTCTTTACTTCACTATTGACAATTTCTTCGAAGAACAATTTATTTTTTCTGTTATTGTTGGTAGCAACTAGGTAGCAAAATTAGGTAGTAAATTGCGTATTGTAGTGAAACAGGAAACACAGGCATGCTATACCGCACACTTTGAGCGAAGTCTTTCCAGGAGCCAAACTCTAATACTGTTTAACGGTCCCCTTGCAGAATAAAGGCCATGCTACCACTGCAGCTGTTACGATTTCCAAGAAGGAAGAGGAATCACTTACGAATCACAACAGCACTGCAAGCCGGAAGCGAAATCGTAATGAACGCAAGCTGAAACCATTATCAAAAAGTAAGTCGGGAAATAATTTTAAAAAAGGTGCGAAAGGGGATCAAATGGAGGTCAAAGTAATGAAGAAAACTGAAACATTAAAGGCAAGGATTGTTTTAAATACAGATAGGGAGAGGAGTGACAAAGGTCCACTTTCCTTGAATTTCCATCGATCTAATAGTGTTGATGGTTGTCATACTGACATTAGTACTAGTCAGGTCTCTACAAAGTCTAAAGAATGGCAGTTTACTATGGATAATGCAAAACATGGACGGTTGGAGGTTGAACGGGGAGGCCTTGCTAATCATGGAAGAGACAAAGTCAGTGATTATAATTCCAATAATGTTGTGAATGCGAATGGTTCTTTAATAACGCAAAACAGAAGCTCGGAAAAGAAGACTCTTAAACCTCTTAAGCCGCTAAAAACTCAAAATCCCCGATCTACTAATAACACTGAAAATAATTTTAAGAATTCAAGTTACCGAATACCAAAAAAGAAACCAATTTCGACTCCTAAAACCCCAGTAGGCAAATTTACACCTTTTACTGGGGATAATTTTAATGCTGAGCGAAACGTATCGCCCACCAAAAATGAGTCCAGGCGGTCGATCGATCGGAAAGACTCATCGAAATCATTGCGGTCGCCTGGAAGCATTTCTGGTCGAAGTTCATCCTCCTGGTCCACATCTGATATTGCCATGACAGGACCATTGGAGGCTGAATGTGACAGCGAACCCTTGAAAGACCGCACGGTTGAACCAGCTGAGGAAGAGATGGAGATTGATGATGCAGGATTCATGACAAAGAAAATATTCAAACAGGTTGGTTGATTTTAATGTGTTGTCTTTATGTAACTACTGTAGAATGGTATAACCTCGAAATTGTCTGCGTTAAATGCGAAAAACAAACTTATGCTCTGACTTGGGCAATTTTCATCTTCATATTTGGCAAAAATGAATCGTAGAATTGGAATCTTCGTGTTGGAATTAGTCTGTGCCGAAAATTTCAAACAGCGTCAGGCAGCGAATTAATCCATTTTCAAAATTTAGCTTTTCCTATACATTTCAATGGAATTTGTTGCAGTAGTTAAGAAATGAGGTACAGTAGCATGACCAAGCTATCTTGTACAGTTGCCATAACTACTGCATAATACTAGTACATTCTCCTGCGTTCTCTTTTTTTTGGCGCTCTCCTTATTGTGACTCATGATTAACCGCAAACCTTTTGTTCTCACAGATCGAGAGCATCCGTTTGGACAAAATCGAAATTCCCAGGGTAAGTGATCAACCTTACACGACCAGTACAGTACACATAATAGTCATTGAGATTTGAAAAGAAAAAGTAGCATCTTTCATCAGAGCTGATTCTCGTTGTTTTTCATTATATTTTAGACTGCGGATTCTACAGTAAGAGATCCAGTAAAAGTTATGGTAAGCTCAATTAACGTTATTGTCTTATTTGAAATTAACCGAACAAGGGCCCATTTTTGTTTTTCAAGAGGAGAATTACCAAATTTCAACGTCTCGTGACAAGTTGCTTCCGAAAAATGTTTCTTCTTATGAGCTGGACTTTATGGTCCCTAAATTTCATTCTTAATGATATATTTTAGTCATTTTGTTTTTTACTTCTCTTTTTGGCTATATTCATATCTTTTTTTGTTTTGCAAGCAAAAAATAATCAGTAAAAGTATCTGCTAATGTCATTCTTTGAATATTTAAACCACCTTTTTTATGTTTCAAAACAAGTTTTTTTATGTTTTTTTTTCAAAAACTACAGATTTAGACACTTTGTTCACTGCATGGCTATGTGAAATGTGACCGTACATTCCAGATTTGTCCTGAAAATACGCATTACTTTTTTTATCTTTTTTCTAGAAATTATAATTTCTTGATCCCCATTGCTGTGCTAGATTGTTGCAGTCTCTGAATTCTATTGCAGGCTCTGTTGCATTCTATAATTTTTTTTCCAGGACGGCTCTTTGTTCATCGTCTTGGATACCAACATTCTCCTCTCTCACTTGAAATTCGTCTCAGAGTTAAAGGACTCGCCAATACCTGGTAAGAAGTTTGAAAAAATAAGTAATTTACATCCCAAGTGTTCTAGTTTTTCTGTAACCTCTTATATATTGCACGCTTCACCCTAATGATATCTTTTTGGAGGAGTAACCCTGCAAAGGAGTCCATACCAATTTGAAATGTATAAGCAGTGGCGGAAACCTGGAGAGGGGGCGAAGGGGCGGTCCCCAATACTTTGGAAGACAATGGTCTTTTGTCCTAAAACAATGTTAAAGTATGACGTCACCTTATTAAAACAATAGCCTTGCCCTCCAATATTTGACCAAGTGTCCGCCCCTGTGTATCGGTTGTATCTTTCCTTTTCAAAAGTAAATCGTTTTCATTTTTTTTCATTTTAAATTTTTAGGCATTGTAGCCCCTCAGTTATTGAAAAACTGATTTACAGGAAGCCATGCATTAAAATACCTTCTATGTTAAAATAAATATTATAAATACAGCATAATACAATAAGATTAAAAAAACAATATTTAAACAAAAATTAACATAACTATTGCGACTCATGCAATGCTGAAATTTATTAGATCTTCCTTAAAGTGCCTATGAAATGAAGTTTCACATATAGTTTTTGTGATAGAAATTGAAGCTTCTATACATGTTTTTGCAATATAAAACGAAAAGTAACTCGAAAATTTGCACGGGAAAGTTTATTTTGACGGTTTTGAAAACAATGATTGCGAGTGACATAAGAATCAGTGACGTCACAAGGTTTGCAGATGGTTCCGTCTTCACAATTAACCCACCATACCACTTAGTCACACCATATTAGCATGAAATTTAAGGAAAAGGGGTAGTTTGATACGCTGAAAAAGATAGGATATGGCACATCTATTTTTAGACTGAGGTACTTTGCTCCAGACCTTTCAATACGGTGTTATCGCATCTCAGTCATACTTTAGCACTACAGCACGAAAATTTGCAGAATTGGACAGTTTGATACACTGAAAAAGATAGAATATAGACTCCGAATTGCCCCCTTGGGTTATTTTTGACTAGGGATCGTATTTCAACCGTACTCTAGTACAACAGTATGAAACTTTGCAAAAAAGGACAGTTTGATGCGCTAAAAAAGATTGGATATGGACCCTGACTTAAAATTGCCCCCTTCGGCTAATTCAACTGTAGTTTCATAAGCGACCTTCATTTTGCTTAATGTACTAAACGCCAACTGCTTCCGTGTTCGCCAGCTTTGTTACGTCACGAATAACGCGAGCTTTGTCACAGTCAAAAAAGGTTAAAATGGGATATTCAACCTAAATTTTAAGACGGTTCCGCAAGAAAAAAAATACTTTAACAATTGTCATTGAAATCAGCAAATTTTGCTTATAATAAATGTGCCTTTATCTAAACTTTTCAATTTCATTTCATAGGCACTTTAAATTTCCTCGGGCTTGGTTGACTTTTTGCTGTATCGTTTAGCCGGTTCCAGAGACTAGCCCCTATGAACATCTCTGATCAGCCGATGTCCTTAACTTTGGAGTTCTTAAGTTAGTATTAGAATTCCACATTACGCGAGATCGAGATCGTCCAGATTGTTCAACCTTGAGGTTAAGAGAACCAAGAATACACATTTCACGCAAATCCTGCTAACGATATGGATGATCATGCTGTTTATTGTAATAGTTTCCTAGCATGCATTGCATATGGTTTTCGTGCATACAGTATATTGCATGTAGCTCTCAACAGCTGACATGACTGTTTTGTCATTCTTATAGGCGCTGGAAGACCAACTGTGGTAATTCCATGGATGGTTGTTCAAGAATTAGACAGGTTGAAGGTAAGCTGTGATCTCATTTCGGCTATAAATTTACCAGCTTGTTGGCTGTTTTGTTATTTAGAATGTGGATGATTTTGTTACTTGATATTGCAATTAATCTTTGCTAAGATAATTTTTGCATCAAAACATATCTGAAGCAATTGACAATTTTCAGTGAGTGGTGTTGAGTGAGAGAGACTCGTGAGCAAATTCGTTATTTCTAGTGACAAAATAAAATTCAAATTCAAGTTTGTTAGCAACTCACTATAACTATAGCTACTACAAACTATAAGAAAAAATTGAATGAGACATAAGGTAGTATGTATAATATTTACGTATCTTGAGGTGGAAGGCCAAGGCAAGACATGAGACTTCATACAGCAAGCAAACTCATCTCTTTATTCACACACGTGTTTACATTCTGTCTACGCGTTGCCCAGGGGGCCTGGGACCTACTCTACTACATTGCTTCTCCTTTTTTTTAAAGTCCATTTCTTAGCTATTATTTTTTTTTTACTTAAAAATGTTCGAAGATAATGAATGTCCAAACCGTTGTGGTGCTTTGACAATTCTGTTAGATCGTCTTAAGGGCTGTTCACATTCCTCTGTCTTGTCTTTGTCAACTTGATTGTTTTTGTCACTGTAAGGTATGTCGTCATCGTTGTCAGTCTCTGTTGGTTTTGGTATACGTTTGTAATGTGAGATGTTACGTGTAATCTTATGATCATGTTTGTTCTTAGCTGTTACACGTGAATTTGTTCTGGCAGTTACAACGTATGGAGTCTCATTGTATGTTGGTGTCAGTTTATTTCGTCGGTCTTGTTTCACAAGTACATGGTCTCCAATTTTCAAGTCGCTTGGTTTTACTCTTCGCTTTTTGTCTGCGTAAAGTTTGTTGTATGCTTGACTTGAAAGTTCATTCTTCTTTGCTTCTTTGTGTCTATTAATAACGTTGTGTTTTTTCAGCGAAGGTAATATTCCTTGAACTGTTCTGTTGTACAGCAGCTCTGCAGGAGGTACCTTTGTTGTACTGTGTGGTGTGGTGCGGTATTGCAACAAAAACCGATTTATTTCTTGCTGCCACACCTTTCCTTCAATTGTAGCAGCTTTCAATGCTTTTCCAAGTGGCTGATTAAATCTTTCCACCTCCGCATTCCCCTGAGGCCATTTCGGAGTAGAATGATTTTTGTTTATGCCAAGGGCAGTGAGGTATCGCTGGTACTCTTCACCATTAAAGGGTGGGCCGTTGTCAGATGTGAGTGTTTCTGGTATACCATGAGTAGCGAAGATCTTGTCCAGCTTTGGTATAACGGTTGAAGCTTTTGTGGATCGCACAATTTCTACTTCAGGATATCGCGAGTATCTGTCTACAACAACAAGCAAATACTCTCCAGATGGCAATGGTCCGTAGAAATCTACATGAAGTTTCTGCCATGGTCCTTGCGGCATTTCAGTCATCTGTAAAGGCTCTGGTGGGTTTGGTCTTCCAGTAGCTTGACAAGGTACACAATGATCGATTGTTTCTTTTGCCAGCTTATCAATATCTGGAAACCAAACTTTTTCTCGGAGAAATGATTTGGTCTTGGATAGGCCTTGATGAGTGGTATGTGCAAGGTCTATTGCTTTCTTTTGAAGTGATTCTGGAATGACAATTCTGGTTCCACGCAAAACTATGTTATAAGCTCCGATGGTGAGCTCATCTTTTATCGCTTTAAATGACTTGATTGCATCACAGTCCCATCGGTTTAGTCTGATAGCAGCACGTAGAGCTTGCAGAGTCCTATCACTGTCAGTAGCGCTTTTTATCTCTGTAATTGTCATCGTTTTCGGAACTGCTGCATTGGTCAACATGGCGATGTAGGGTTCCGTCATCTTCTCTTGTTTGTATGTACTTTCTTTTGTTGGATGGCGGGAAAGGTAGTCTGCAGGATTGTCTAAACCTGGTTTATACTGCACTGTAAATCTGTAAGGCTGAAGGCGCAAGACCCATCGTTCAATGCGAGCAGATGGCTTTGATTTGGGGCTGCCATATATGATTTCCAATGGTTTGTGATCTGTGATCAGTTGAAATGGCTTTCCATAAATAAACAAATGAAAATGCTCTACCGCCCAGACGATGCTCAATGCCTCTTTCTCAGTTTGTGAATATCTTTTTTCCACAGAAGATAATGCTCGGCTTGCATATGCAACAATACGACAATCATCACTTGCTGAATCTTTCTGAGCAAGAATAGCTGATATGCCAACAGGACTGGCATCTACAGTAATTATAGTGTCCTTTGTGGTATCGAAATAGGCCATTACTGGAACTGATGTCAGAGCATTCTTTAACTTTTCAAACGCCTTTTGGTGTTCAGCTTTCCACTGAAAATGTGAATTTTTCTTTGTTAGTTCTCTAAGTGGAGCACTGGTAGTTGCGTAGTCTTGAATATATTTACAATTGTAGTTCGCCATTCCTAGAAAACTTCGCACTTCATGCACGTTGGTTGGTACTTGTACATCTTGCAAGTCTTGAATATGCTTTGGATCTGGTCTTGTACCAACAGCTGAAAAAATCTGTCCAAAGAAGGACAATGATTTCGATAAAAACTTGCATTTAGTTGCATTCAGAGTGAGACCTTTATCTGATAGTTTCTGCAGGCAGTCATTGAGTGCTCTATCATGATCTTGACGGTCTACTCCAAAGACAATAATGTCATCTGCTATATTGCAAACTCCTTTAATTCCTTGTAAGGCCGTTTGCAAGGCATGTTGGAAGATCTCTGCAGCTGCGTTTGTGCCATAGTTTAGTCTTTTGTAACGAAACAGGCCTACATGTGTGCTAAATGTTGTAATGTAGCGACTGCTTTCGTGCAATTGGAGCTGATGATATGCCTGAGACATGTCCAGTTTTGAAAACATTTTTGCTCCAGTTAACTTCAGATTAATATCATCGACTGTAAGAATGAGATGCCTGGTTCTCTTGATTGCTTGATTTGGCTTTCTCATATCTACACATATGCGTACGTCATCACCTTTCTTTGGTACTGCAACTATCGGGCTAATCCATGGCGTAGGTTGGGTTTCTGGAACCCTTTCGATTATGTCATCCTTCTCCAGCATTCCAATGGCACGCTTGACTTTTTCACGAATATGGAACGGAATGCGCCTCTGCGGCTCCGCAACTGGAACGACGTTTTCATCAATGTTCAGCTTTACAATGGCGCCTTTCAATTTTCCTAATCCTTCGAACACAGAAGAATGCTTTGCAAGAAGTCTATTCAGCTTTCCATCATCAGTCACGGGTGATGAAGGCGTTTTATTTGTTGACACTTTATTTAAATGGAGCGTAACAAGACCTAATTCTTGTGCTGTATCTCCACTAATGAGATTACCCGACTTGTTGTTATTGACAACGTAGAACGTCGCGACTGCATACCGCTTCTTTGTTTCCACTACCGCGTTGAATTTGCCTATAAATTTAACGGGTTGTTCAGTATTATAAGCAAAGGCACGGGTTTTCGTATTTTCCAGCTTGATTTCTGGTAATTTTGCAAATGTAGCCTTGTCTATGACGTTGATGGACGCTCCGGTATCGATCATGGTGTCAAAGGTATATCCAAGGACTGTTGCTCTTGCGTAGGGCCTAGCCTTGCTTCTTTTGTTTACGGCATACAAGTATCCATCATCCGACTCAGACTCAGAATGATTAAGTGGGTGCACAGTTTTGTTTCCCTTTCTTTGTCTGTATCTTGTCGTGGAATTTTGCTGGCTTTTTGCACTAGAACGACACACTATAGCAAAGTGGTTTGGTTTTCCACATTTTCGGCATTCCTTCCCTTTTGCGGGGCAAACAGTGTCTTGGGGGTGAGATGCCCGTCCACAGTTTCGACATTTGTGGGTCGTTTTTGCCACAACTTGCTTTGTTTCGGCTGAAAGAGGCTCGATTTTCTGAGATTCAATTTCTTTCGACTGAAATCGACTTATTTCATCCCTGTAGAAATTATCCTGCCACAGGATCGCAATTCGGGGTCGGAGACAGAGAGGTGACAATTATCTGACACTCCCTCTCCAACGCTGACAAGTTAGAATCACCAAAAGGTTCAAAATTAAGGATCCATAGATTCAAATTCGAGAAAAGAGGACTGTATATAAGTTAAACTAAATAGATCGATAATACTCTAACTCGTAAATATCAAGAAAACAAGAAACCATCAATAAAATAGAAGAATATTAAGGAATTAAGGAACTAAACCCAATCAGAATAAAATCGAAACAATGTCACCTGAATATATATACAATACGGTTCAAGAGTTCTTGGGTTTCTCTTTGCCTTTATGATCATCAGAATAGAATGTTCCTTTTTCAACGTCCGTGCGTCCTTCTTTCCAGATCCAGAGACAATCCAACAACAACCAAAAACACCACCCATCACAACTCGTCAACAATATCACGTGACAACAACAAAATCAAAGAAGATCGGGGGGCAACAACCACTTTTTCCCACAATCCCTTCTCCCATCGATCAGCATGGCTTTCAAGTCGTATGTGGGGTCTCGCAGGGCCTGCTTCCTAAGGCGAGAGGAAGTTCCCCCAATGATAATTTGCTGTTCCAGCTCAAATTTTAGATTGTCACCAAACTCACAAGGTAAAGCCAGTGTTCGCAGCCTAGTGTGATATTGGTCCAATGTTTCAGTAGGCTCTTGATGTGCCTTTCGAAAACAGTACACGTCATATCGGCGATTTTTTTGCGGTTCAAAATAGGCTGTAAGTTTATCTTTGGCTGTATCGTAGGCACTTGCTTCACCGGTGTTTTCGAGCTGATCAAAAATCTCTCTAACTCGGGGGCCAGCTTGGTATAACAACAGCGCTCGTTTACGAGTGTTATCGGCGATGCCTGCAGCAATAGTAAACATTTCAAAATCGGAAATCCATTTTTTCCACGAAATCGCGATACTTGCGCCAACCTCTCCGCTATCGGGATTAAATTCGGGAACAGGTTGTAGTGAAACGGCGTGCGACATACTGGTGCACTGGTTTCCTCTTCTTTTTACTCGTCGCCAATATAATATTTACGTATCTTGAGCTGGAAGGCCAAGGCAAGACATGAGACTTCATACAGCAAGCAAACTCATCTCTATATTCACACACGTGTTTACATTCTGTCTACGCGTTGCCCAGGGGGCCTGGGACCTAATCTACTACAGTATGATACATTAAAAGTGCAATATGAGTGCGTTGCATTCCTCAGTACTTTCGCTTTTTATCTGCAAACTTTGGAATTTCGTTTTAGAATGCTCCGGATTCAAGAATAGTTGAAGCAGGAGAAGGAGAGGTAGTAAGTCATGTTTGTGCCATGTTTGCGCTGTTTCTTTTCAGTCTGTTATTTGTTCGTTTTTGTTTCATTTCAAAAGGGTTCTTTTTAGTCGCTATTATTTTACTATTTATTTCTTCCTTTTCTTTTGCGATTTCAATTATCAGTTCTTTTTTTTTCTTTCTCAATTTATTATCATATCTAAAGTTGATTTTTCACTACAATCCCTTGCAAATAGGCCTTTTATTTATTCTACAGGCAACTATAGTTTGGTTATATTTTTCTTTTTCATTTTAATTTCAGTTACAATGCTATTTGTCTCAACCCCTTGTCTCATCATCTTGTTTCCAGAACCCAGCCTTGTTATTTGTGTAATGTTGATCTATACATCTGCCATATTTTCCTTCCATTCGCATTATGACTCTCGTATCATTTTCCTAGCAATGATTTTTTCCAGTTTTTGCAGACATCTTTTCCTCATATCTTACTTCACATTAGTTAGTTCACGACAACTTTTTCGATAGTCCGTGTTCAAAACCCGAAATGTTCTGTTTCTCAAACTTTCTTTTTCCGCAGAACCAACCCTTCATCAGCATCAATTTTCTTGCTCGCAATGCCGTTGCGTTTATTCACAATTGTTTCTCGCAAAACCACCCAAGGATCAAGGGGCAGTCTGTGTTTGAGGTGAATATTCAATTTGTAAATATGAAAGACGAAGAGAAAGTCTTTCAAGAGCAAAGCGATACTGATATTTGTTACATCATAACTTGACCAATTAGCGCGTGCATGAAGTTAGTAGAAGAGTCTTCATATCTCGGATTAATCACAGACACTTGCATCTTTATTGTTTGAACATAAAAGCAAATTTCTTTATATGAAAACAAATTTTCTAAAAAGTTGATTTGTTGTTCATGTATTCCCTTATATATTAAATTTGCTACGTTAACAGGCAAGCAAGTCAGTTGATGGATTCACGGAGGAGACAAATGACGACAGTATACTATGTTGTTGTTTGCTTTTAAAGCAAAATGGTGAGTGAATGCAAAAATGAAAATGCTTTTTTAATGACTTATGGAAGCAAAGTCTTCCGCAATAATGTGATAAAGCGTTAAAAGAAATTTTCGATGGGCTGCAAAACTAGTTAATAATTACGGTGGGCCAAAATTGAAAGAAAGTCCAATGAAAATGGGATATTCATAAGTTTTGCCTTGCATCTGTCTTCATCATTAAATATCATTCAATATTAAATGTATTTGATATGGGATTTTTAAATTAGAAGTGGTATATGAGGGCTGGATATGGTGGTTTTGATTGATGTAGTTTTGTTGTGATGAACATTGGCAAGTATTTTGTCACCTAAAAGCCCAGTGATGATATACACAGAATAATATGTGAATGCTACTTTATCAGTAATATCTATTTCTACTGGTAACTTTTAATAAGTGTTCATGCAAGTTTCTATAGCTGGCGTTTTAATGTTGCTGGTATTTTCCCTTTCTAGCTCCTCAGACAAAGACGGTTCTCCTTTCAAACGACAGAAACCTGTGCAGCAAAGCTCTGATGAACGGAGTTAAGGCTTTTACGAAAAAGGTAGAAGGACTTCACAAGATTTGGAAGTATAAATTTTTTATTCAGGGCTTGATAACTTAGGTTTGTAGTTGGTTCGAAAATTGATTGGTGTTGATGCGGAAAGTAATTGGCAAATGATGATGGTTGCGTTCTGAATATACCTGCAGTCTTCTGGTCTGAAAATTGTTCATAATCTTGGTCGATGTCTTGAAAACAGGCATTGGCTGTAAAGGGGGACAAACAACAATGACACCACCTCATTAGATGGCAGCGAGTCACAAGCAGCATCGCTGTGGTTAAGAGGAGGTGCAACAGTATCTAGGAAGTGCTCATAAAGAACCCTGGGTTCTAAATGGATGCTTTCTAATCACAGACAGAAATAAACTGCTGGTCTCATCTGAATGAAATTTTAGTAATCTGATGCCAATTTATGCGAAAATGTCGCTTTTATTGTTATTTAAGTGTTTTTAGTGACATAATGCTAGGTGCTTTTTCATAAAGTTATCAAGTTAATATCTGAGTAAATATCAAGCCTTCAGCATATCGATTTTGCTTAAATTTTTTGGCCAGTTCTAATTTTACGCTCCATGCTTTTAGATTGTCTGTTGCTCATTTTATGCATCAATTTTAGTTTTCATGCTTATTAATATGAAACATCCCGTCTTCATTCTTTCTCTACTCTTTTTTAGACTCTATTGCCAGGGCTTCAGGACCTTTTTCAGAGCGGAAACATAATCGTTCATAAAGGCCATTTCAAAGGTAGGCCTGCTCCTAGTTATGGTAAAACTGCTGTGGGTAGGCCTCCTCCATTTCTTTGTTTTTTTTTCATTAACGTGGTCTTGCATTAACGTGGCACCATTTTTCTACTTCAGCCTTTTGTTATACTACAGCCTTTTCTTAATGGTGAACGTTTCTGTGTTGTTTTTTCTGAACTTTAATTAGAATTGATAAAAATCTTGCTGATTGGAGATAATTAAAGCCCTGTTATAATAAATGTTGAATTCTTTAACCAATACCATTTTTAAGTAGGAAAAACGCAAAGGACTCTTTGATGTCTTTTGTTAAGTTGTTTCAAGAATTTAGATTATCTTCAAATTTAGATTCTCTTCCACCAAAAATTCTACCACAAGTAAATGTGTAAACCGTATCAACTTCATTGGGTAAAATCTTTCTTTGAAATTTTCGGAACACTTTTGGAGCTTTTCATCTGATGGTTAATCTAATTTTTGTCTGTAATTCATTTCTTAGAATATTTCAAGGAAGCCGAGATTCAGGAGCGTATATCTGAGCAGCAGAAAAAGGTATTTGATTAATGTTTTGTACCCCCCATTTCTAAAATTTTATTATAGATTTTATAAAAAGTAATGAACGAATCTAGTAATTCAGAGTGAGAAAAATGCTGCAAGAGGGGGAACAAGGTAAAATAGCAGTACGACGTTACAAAAAGGGGCAAAGAATTGAATTGGGGGGCTGGCAAGTAGAGCTGCAGTCATTGATTCCTTAGAGCTCAGTTATTCCAATAAAAAATGGATTTTTAGATTTTAACAATATGGACGAAATAAACTGAATGGGCGTTATGAAATAGAAAATGTTTGAAAAAGACGGCTGCATCTTTTCAAAATTCTCAGAGACATAACCAGGTAAGCAGGAATTCCTTCTTGTTAAAATCTTTACAATGCATGGAATCATCAAAACAGTGGCAATTCTTGAGTCAGGATTTTTACTAGCAATATCTCAGCCAATTCGTAATATATTTCGCCAAGTAGAGATGTTCTTTGTTGCTTTTTCAGATTTTCTTAGTTCTTTCAAAAGGATGAAATTCTTAAGTATATGTGTATGACCTCATTGCCTACCTTTTTATTTCAATGTTGCCGCCAAAACCTGGCCGCCTTCTGTGGTCTGACCTCAAACCAGTTGATATCTTATCTTTACCGCGTACTAGTTAAAAAATCTTCTTTTTATTAACATTATTCAGGCTCAGAACCATCCTGTTTTCAAGAGTATTATTAGAATATTACTCAGCCACAAATTTTTTTGTGCCTCGTCTTTCAGCAGTTACCTTTTTTGCGATGTTGATAACAGTAAATCGCATGACACACATATCCCGTGTTCCCCTGAAACTATATGAGATGCGAAAGAATAAGAATACTTAGAGAATTTATTGAGAGCCAAAATGAGACTTTCTTAGATTATCGATGCTAGACAAAATTTGAAGTATCCTTATAAAAAAGGAAATTGTATCTCAGCTAATTCTTAATAAACTTCGCCAATTAGAGATGTTCTTTGTTGTTCCTTTAGACTTTAAAGTCAAAATCTTTAAATATGTTGGTATGAAGTCATTACCTTCCTCATTTTTCAATGTGACCGTCACATCCATTAGTCCCTTGGTTTTATCTATGACCATGACAACAAACCAAAACTCAGATTTTGGGATAGTTGGAGGGTCATGGTAGCCAACCTTCTGATAGAAGATGGTACCTGATGATGATGTCTCATCCTGACTGCCTTTTGCTCTCTAACTTCCTACCGACTTGGCAGCGTACCTTCATCTGTTTATTAAGTTACCAAATGCAGAGACCATTATTTGCACAGAATAGTAATGTTGGTTTTTTCGGCAAGTTTTGACTGCAAGACAAGGCCACGTGTATTGTATATACTTATTGTACATTTTTTAATGTTGATGCCTTTCCTTTCCTCAGGCTGACAACTTGATCTGTGAGCTTCAGTGCATATTAAGGGAAGCCCTGGCAGCAATTGTGGAGCAGGAAATGAAAGAAGTCTATGGTGAAATTTGGTGTGTTATTTTTTCTGGTCCCGCATTATTTTGCCTTTCCGCTTCAAAAATCTCGGCAATGGGCACATTATCCCAGATTATGTACCTTAAAGAAACCAACGACAAACCACGTAACAACAATTTATTGACCTCCTTTCTGTATTTTATGCTTCGTAAAAGCTAATGTTCTTTTAAAAAGTATTCGTTTGAGTATCCTTATTGTAAAAATATCTCTTGATTTCAGGCTGGCAATTGTGAAAATCAAACCACCATGGACCCTTATAGACACATTTGAATTGCTAGAGAAGTATGTAGCATAGCTTTCTGTTGTAATAACTAGCATTTAGTTTGGAATATCGTTACATCTTGGATTAGCAAGCTATGACGAAGATCTTTTTGAGGTAAATGTAAACATTTCCAGTAGTTTTAAAGAAGCCATCGCTATCTTTTATTTGCAGGCATTGGATCGCTGTTTTTGGCCAAATAGTTAACAGGAATCTAAAGGAAAAAGTAACGGAGTTGAAGAAAAAGTTTTTGGGTGGGGAAGGTAAGTCTTTGGCTCTTTGTCAAGATAATTCCTCCCTTTGCCCTGGATTTGACACAATTTTCGACTGATAACAATTACCTGTTTGTGATCAATTTAAATTGACTATGGAAATGCAATCGCATGCTTGTATTCAATTAAATTTTATTTTGCTTTAAATAAGCAACGAGACTGAATAGTACGGGGGATGATAGGCAGTCATTGAAATTGGTCAATACTTGGTTTTTTCCTAAACTGAAGGAATTTCTTAAGAATTCATGTGTTACTGTTGTTATTACCGGCGATGTCTGTTTTTAGCTATGAAAATGATGTCCTTGCAGCAATGTTATATTGAATGTAGATAGCTGTAAACAAGGAGCCAATCACACGCGTTGTTCATCCTCTCGCGTTACTTTCAAGCTGCATCTGGAGGCATTCCGGGTACATTTTGGCCATTACTGACATTTATGTTATGTCTACGGCCATATGGATCAAGGTCTATTTTATATCTTAAAATATTCCCTGGTCGTCTTGCATTTCAATATCTTTGGCATCAAACATGTGCAGTGACCTACGAAGCCGGTTGTCTAGCAGCAATAAGCGGGATTTTATGAAAGACGTATAAACTTATCTTTCTTCTGGCATGCTCCAACTTATTTTTGTGCTGTGTAAATACAGAAAAGATTTGGCTTTCTTCCCTATACAAGGAAAACAAAACAAGGAATTGAATATGAAAATGCTGAAACCCCCAATTGTCCAATTTTCCAAATAGCAAGCCATCAACCAGCTCTCATCTGTCCTTCCACGACTGGTTGATTACCCGTCACAAAATGCTGTGAAACCAGCTCGGCTAACAGAACAGCGGAAAGTTCATATATTGACACAATTTTAGATTTTGGGTTTTGAGAACAAAGAAGTGTTCTCTGATTGTGTATCTTGTCTTTATTAATTTCCATTTTTTACCTTTTGCAGATACAACAAGAGATTTAAATTTGGCAGGAGGTATGATTGAGCTTGGCTTCGCCATCTGCGATACATTCGCAAAGCATTCTGGGTTAGTACCAACATTTTGTTTTTTGGTTTTATTGAAACATTTGCTCACTAAGGTTTGCTTGCTATGGATGTTGTAAACTCCTGAAACTTGCCAAAGAATAGATAGCTTGACCATTGAATAGATAGGCGATGCTAACCCAGGATCACTTTGGATCCTACTACAAACTTGTTACCATGAATTTCATAGAGATACCCTTTGTTTTCCAAGGTCTAAAAGCAACACACGGCTCGCTTCTTACTTCCAAGGAATTATTCTCAATTTCTCTAGTCTGAGACCATGTTCCCAGTCTGAGAGATGAAAGTTTCTAGGTAAAACTTTTGGTATACTACCTTAGAATATCAATGGTGTTGTCGAGTGCTAAGACCTAGTATTTAAAAGCTATAGGGACTACATTTGTATCAAATTTGGTGGGACTTTCTTATGACTATTGTTTTTATAATGTTTCATTGCCTTTTCGTAAATATTGATTGTTAGTTTCCACGGCCCGGCCACTGACTCTTTTCACGTTGGTAGCAAAATGCTCGAAAAAGAGGAAGAAATCGCATTTTTTCCGTTCTAGTTATGATGGAGTTCTATCTAAATGTCTGGCAGCGGCCATTGTTTTGCGAAGAACTTACAAGAAGTACGTTAGCACTGTGGCTGCGATTCCAAGCAGAAACGAGGACGAGGAGCCCACACGCAAGCGCCGCCCGTTGCCAGAACCATCAGACGGGGGTACGGTGTCAGACAGCGTTAGTGCTGTGCTGCATCAAGGCCAGGAGGCAAGTTTTTTACATAAAACTCCCTAGCTAACCCATTACCTGTACTTTTGAAAAACTCTACTTGCAAAAATGTGTTATAAGTTCTTTAATGACATGATAATTACTAAATTTACATTTAAAAAGAAAACTTAGGAAGTTTGCATGCAGGGAATTTCATAAAGGAGAAGCTCTGTCAATAGATAAACTAATCAAGGAGAGTGCCCCCCGCTCCTATAAATTTTATTTGTACATATTGATTGCCCTTTATGATAACGATGACTTTTGACATTATTTGGAGAAGGAGTATGATTTAGCTAAGAGTACAGCGTAGAGTCCTTGTCGAAGGAGACTGTTCGACGTCACAGTCAACCCCTTTTAAAAAGCATGTTAACATTTCAAGGCCAGGATATCGAGAACATCTCTTTTTTTATCGGCACTGTTATATTTGAGAGACAAAGATTTTTATATAAAAATGTTTCTTCAGCTCTAATAGCATATCATGAATGATCTGTTGCCACACTGTTGAAAGTTTCTTCAACACAATGAAATACCCAATTTTAATACGTGTGTTTTACACAAAGTCACTTTCTACATGTCCTTCTACATTAGGGATCAAACGAGAGGCAACTGGAAGACGCGAAACCTCCACACTTCGCTGTTATGATAACTTTTGACGAAATATGGAAGGCAGTTAGAATGCTAAGGTGAGAAACATCATTGGTTTTGGTGATAACTCACCTTTGAGTGTCTATTATATGTCAACATGGAATGATTCTATCAATTCTCTCACTGTAAAATGTGTAAATAAATTAGGCAAATGAAGATGTAACTAAGCCTGAAATTCTGGGGCCCATGTAAATCCAACTGACACATAGTTGATACATTTCTGTCTAAATGACAAACCTAATATAAAACGTTTCGAAGTAGCAAAGGCAACTTGGCAGTTTTTAATAGGATATACCAATGAGAGTTTTTATTAGGGAATGAGAATAATGACGGGAGGTTTGCGTGAAAATACGATCTAAATACTGCGAGTATTGAATGTTATGACATATTATTGTGTTTTTTTTACAGTTCATCGATATTCAGATCTATGGAATATCCGAACCCATACCAGGAAGATGACGAAAATATCAACCTCAGGCCTTCAAAAGAGGAATCGCTAAGGTTTCTTCAACAATTTGTTCCTTGTTTAGGCCGTCTTGTACAAGGGATCCAAAGGTGAGCAAAGAATGATTGACTGTAGTTACTTACTTGATTAAGTTCTGTGATAAGACTGTACAAGAAGATATTAATCAAGCCAATGCTATGTAGCTCGAGAGTGATGGCAGCATTGTCCAAATTGGAAGGTGATAACGTTTTGGCTTATGCACAGCTATCGACGTATTTCATATTTCAAGACGAAGTCAAAAGGATACGTCTTTATGAGACTACTTCTAGAAATACTGCTGAACTGGGTTTGCTAATTTTCAGGGACGCTAACTTTTTTGGATGCCCCGCTATTGAGCTTGATCACCGAAACTCCTAAAGCCACCTCCCTAACCATATCTACTGTAAATCCTCGAAAAAGCCCTCACGCTCGAATAAGCCCTCCCCTCGAATAAACCCCCACCTAAAAACATTTTTGCAAATAAGCCCCCCCCCCTCGAATAAGCCCGTAGTTGCATAATAATATGTTATTTCAAGAAAATCGCCACAGGATAATAGCCTTTTTGTAATTTTTCAATTTTTTTCATTGAGAAAATTATGTCGTTTTTATCTCGACTTTTGTGGAAGATACTAAACTTCGAAATAAGCCCCACTCGAATAAGCCCCCCCCCCTCGAATAAGCCCCCCCTCGAATAAGCTCCCCTTGAATAAACCCCTCCTAGAATAAGCCCTCCTCCAATAAGCCCAACCCAAAAAATTCTTTTTGCAAATAAGCCCCCGGGGGCTTACGTATTCGAGGATTTACGGTATTGTGTTGAGGTTATTCAAAAGAGTTCGTAAGTGATGACGTCACAAAAATCTATTTTGAAAATATTTTAATTTTGACCCGGTAATCTTAAAGATAATCATTAAAGACCTTTAAATATAGCTTAAATGTGACCAGATGAGCACAGGCTCTTGCCCCATTAATTCTTTTTAATTTGGTTTCTTTTCGTAACTTAAAGAACAGAACCAATATGTTAGCAAACTTCAGATCTTTTAATGGTTATATCTCAAATTTGGTTATATGCTTTTTGACAAATTTAACTGATTTTCCATATTTAAAAATATTTCATGGGGCTCCTTTTTGTTTTGTGGTCAAAATTCAAAAATTCTGAAAATAATGTTTGTTACGTCACATTTCAAAGTGTAACGATCAATAATTGTTGTTGTTGCTCCGTTTCAATTTTGGTTTCGTCCTGTTTAAAAGATTATCTTCTGTATTTATTTTTTGTAGGGTTCTAGCTTGCTCTCAGGAGGACTCCGTCAAAAATCCTGATATATTTGTTGAGTTAGGAGAAAGCATTGCACAGTTTTTGAAATCGGTAATTTTTGTCAAGAACTAACAATGATGCTTTGATCTTACATTATTATTCATGGTATTCATAATCATCTAAAAAGTAATTCTACCCATGTACTTTAAGCTACAGATGAAGACATAATGAACAATAATGTTTACCAATTTGTCATGAAGTGCTCGATGCCGTATTAGCACAGCTGGACACGCTTTTGGTGTAAAGAACAGAACGGTTCTAAGTTGCTACCCCGAGTTTCACGCTTAACGCAACCATCAAGCAACTGTCCTACTAAGTTGAAATATATATCTTTTTTATTATAAGCGATTTTGGTCCATTGCAAACAGAGCTATTTCCTTGTGTCAAAACTAAAAATATACGAATACTTAATAATTTGAAAGTCTTCATACCTATGTAATATTCTTGATGGTTCATTTTCAAATTTTCATTTAATTTGAACTCTCACCGTTGAAATACCTTTATTATCAGTTTTTTTAAATCCACTTGCTAATTGCTATTGAATCAAGTTTGGGGGAATATATGATAATGAAAAATGCTATAGTGAATAAGAGTGGATAAGATCGATGCATTTTACACAATAAAACTGGTTATCGCCGTCTGATTCAACACTGTTTTAGTTAACAAGCGTCCGATAAGAACATGGATAAGGGGTGACATGAATGATATAAACAAAACAGGTTTTGTATTTCCGTAAATGCGTATTACTAAGGTTTATTAACAAAAATAAGATTTCTTCAGTAGTTTTTACCCCATGTTTTCTCTTTTTCGCAGATAATGTGTCGTGACTGTAAGATTACCCTCGATGAGCTTTGCGCCTTTTGCATGGATAATCTTTGCAGGTATGTCAATTTCTTTCCTTTCCTTGTTGATGCTGTGCAGTTTCGGATTGTTAGGGATGATTTACCAAGCTTTACGCGCTAAAATTCGCAAGTTGATTCCACTGCTATTAAGATTATTTGCCCAATTCTTTCGCAGCAGTAACTTTTATGTGAATACGCGCGCTATATATCCTTTTCCACCAATTTTGAGAAAAGGGTAAAATGTAATCGTCTATTTATGTCTTATTAATTTAGGCCCTATTCGCACTGCAAATATGATAATGTTTGTCAAACCTGATATTCTCGCACCAATTAAAAAAACCTTTCATGATTAACAAAGTTTGTCAGACTTCTTGTTCGCATTAGGCAGTTTTCTGAGATTATATATTGTTATATATTGTATACGTTATCAGGTTGCCATTGAGAAATTGTACCTTTTTAAATCGTGATATGATTTCAAATAGCACCCAGAGCTTTTTTATTGGTGTTAAATAATTCTGGCATGTCCGTCGACTCACCCGCTGGTTATCATAGATTTTCACGAGATTGTGATTCTCCAGAACTCTACGACGGAACCTTTGACCAATTAGTCGAAACCTTACAATTTGTCAGATTTCAGATTTTGCTGTTCGCACTCTACCAATTAAGCTACTTCCTGAAAAACCCTTGTCGCCTTTGAAGATAGAACAATAAGGGATTAGCATTATCAGGTTTCTAGATGCTGTGCGAATAGGGCCTTACATTTATTTTGATATTATACAAAATACACTGTTGAAGCAGCTGGTAATAGAAATAATGAACTTTTGCTGTTAATTTTTAAGACTATCAGTATTTATTGTTGTAGAATGGCAAATTAAGCTGTTGTGAATTGATGAATTGCAGATTGTCAATAGGAAGAAACCGTTTAAATAATCCATAGAAAGATCTGTGTGCTGCCCATAGTGTATAGATTATAATTCTCGTTGTAGGAATGCTTTGGTACAAGGCATGTCTCAATTGGATCGGGCTTTAGCAATGCTGCAACATTGTCAGACTTTAGCCGCAAAGCAACCTTAGAGCCTTGAATGTAGACATTGGCAAGACCCGTTGTAAAATTGTTTTCTTTGTGCCCTCCATCAGTGTTACCATTAATTGGTTTTGCTTTCTTGTGATAAGAAAATGGCGGCTGTGTTTCTCCTGATCAAAATGTTTCTTTCCATCGGTTATAAACAGAGCACGTTGCATCCACCTACTCAGTCTGCCGGTAGAATTTGGTTACTTAGCAATAAAGATCCCTCATAACTAATCGAACAACAACTGGAACTTTAGACCTGTCGACATATGAAAAATAATCACTGCTCAAAATTATTTGTTCAAGATATTTATATAATAATAGTTACTCTACTCTCTTATCATATGCTTGTTAGTTGTTTGGATTTAGCCAGTTAACTTAAGAGAACTCGTCACAAGAAGTTAGATCGTTTCACGAATGTTTATATGAATTTAATACCACTTAACGGGGCAGAAGTCTCATTTATCTAGTTGCTAATAAACTTTTTTCTGTTTTTAGTGCCACAGTAATGACAATGTTTATAGAAAAGTTCCTTTGCCCATTGAATTCTTTTGCTCGATCGGCTTTGTATTTCAGTTGCAATTATTTATTATTGTCAGTACCGATATCCGAATAGGTTTTGATTCGAGCAGACATTTTTATTCGAATATTTCAAAAGGGCAAAGAATCTACACAATAGTTGCTGTTTTACTAGGATCCTCACAGTTAAGACTTAACAAGAAAACAAGATATTATGAATGAAAGAAAATATGATATTAGTTTGTCCAATTGTACAATAAAACCATGCCACTTGATGAAATCATTTTGTGAATAATTATCAATCAAGCATTCTGGATTGCATACTTCAGGCCCTAAACTGTTAATCATTAAACTTGTTGTTACCAAATTGTAAAACCCTTTGCTTCCAAATTGCGTTTTATTTGGAATTATTATTACCAGACGAGTCTTGCCTACTTTCCATGTAAATGTAAATTTAAAGAGGCAAGAATCTGTGAAACAAATACAAATTTCGTGTTAACAGACCCGTATACAGATTTTCATATAGCTGAAAACGTCTTTGTGTTTGTAGGTTAATTGTTTTGTTTGTAGAAATGTTCTGTTTGTTTTTAAACCTGGAAATACATCCGAAATGGAAGATCTAGCCAGTTATATTGAATTCGTTCAGATAACAATCTTCCATTTCTTTCACATCTATCGATTGTCGGAGTGAGGCGTTTATTAGCTTATTGCCTGATCTGACATGTCCGAAAATTGTCATTTTTGTTTAGTTAGTTTTGTAAAACATGATCAACTTGATGGGTTGCGATTATAAACCTGATGAGCTTACTAATGTTTTCATTTCTTTTTGGAAACTTCAGCTATAAAAAACCAAACAAGCGTTTTATTTCAAATTTGAGAAGTCTGGCGTAGTTTCTGAGGGCATTTGAACATTTTAGCTCAGTTTTGGAAAACTTGACGTGTGTTGCCTTGCCAGCTATGGAGAACCAATAAGCTTTTGGTTTAAATTTTGAGAAGGTATACGGACGTTTTGTGGTTAGCTTTGAATTTAGAAAGATATTTAAATTTATTTTGTAAAAATTTGTAGGGTCAACTCTGCGATATCTGCTTTTAATGTCACTTGCTTGAAAAAGTGACGTGTATTTTGAAGTCTGCCATGGTAAACCTACCCTGGGTGCCAGAGTCTCAGTATGTCAAAGGGTGAAGAACGGGGAAAAAGAAATTAGGTTTCTCTTCCATTCTCCTTCGCAATTTCCGTTTGATTCAAGCAAACATTTGATTTACGTTTTGAGAAGCCTGATTTCTAGTTTTTGGCTAGTGTTGAAAACCTGGTAACTGCTTGAATTTGTGTTAAAGAAATTTGACGTTTTCTGTCAGGTCAGCTTTTAGTATCTGCTGGACATTTGTTGTTAGTTTTGGAGATCCTGACGTAGACGTACCTTATGAGATCAGCCTTTCAGGTCTGGCGAAAGTTTGAATTTGGTTTTGGAAAACCCCATATACGTTACAATATCCGCTATGAGAACCTGCATGAACCCTTAAGGAATCTCAGCCGATTTTATAATTTGACATGTTCCTCAGAGCAAATAAGCATCATGCTCTTGAATTCAACTTGTGTTTGTTTCGAATAGGAAACTTTCTTTCAACTTAACTTATCTACTTAACATATCTACAAAACTGTCAACTTAACTCTGATATACGAAACCCAAAAAAGTTAAAAAAATATTTCTCTATCCCTACGTCATTTCTGGTTCTAACATTGAGTTAATGGGTTCTAACATTCTCTACAAATACTTATTTCTCTAGGCATGGTCGGTGCTACAAACTTGAAGGAATCGGCATCTATGTTCTTAATGTCTGCAGAAAAGACGTAATAAATATTTAATTTTACTACATTATTTCACGACGGATGTGCTTCTTTTGATTTATTTTCCTGGATTTTAATCGTTTAATATTCATTTTAATCTCTTGTGAGACCCTTTTTATAACAAAAGCTGCGTCTATTTGCTGGCCACATTAGGACGAGATCATCCGTGTTCTTGGCAAGGCTTGTTTTGGAAGGTATGATTGACGGAAAAAGAGACAGGGGAAGACATAGAAGAACATTTTGTTCTTTCTTTATTTAAAGTTGGTACAATTTCTAGCTATAATACTCAAGCTAATTATAACCAACCAATTTAAATTACCAACGCTAAATATAATGTAAATCAAATATAACCGATGTTGCTAACGTATACCTTGCAAAGATTACAAGTAGAATTAAACGATGTAAATTCAGATATTTTTTCTTGAATAGTTGTAAAGTAGGAGTACTTTATCTAATATGGAACTGAGTTCCATATTTGGCTACATCTGTATGATACGGTATTAAATTCATATATCTCTTAATGTGGTCATGGTAGCCAACCTTCTGATAGAAGATGGTAACTTATGATGATTGCCCTTCGGTAACCCGTTTTCTGTTAACGATTCCTCTCAGGCTTGTGTAATCGGAATTGAAGCGGTAATGGCGGTCTGGAGCAAACATTGAATATATTTTATAGATTTTAGAATATATTTAGACGGCAGTGCTCTATTAAGCCGTTGATCTAGAGCAACCAGATGTAACTAATAATCATTATAGCGTAAATTTACTATGATGAAGCCCTGTATGCCGGGGCAAAATATTAGTACACTCCCCTCACAAAAGTATTGCACCACCTTGTTCAAAATGGCGGCATATTTTGTCAATATTTTTACAATACAAAACATTTGAATGCATGAATTGGGTGAAATAGGCATATTTTATATCAAATTTCGGCGTGAAAAGTTTGCAAATTTTGCTGACGCCATAGAATACCTAGTTAGAAATGTAAATTTTACGCAAAAACATTATTGTTTGAAAAAGTGTAGACCACGCCAAAGGGATAAAATTTGTCAAATGAGATGCGAGTCCCTACAATATTTTTACAGGGAAGCGGTCTTTAGTTTTTGAAATATTGTTGACCATGTTAGATGCAGCCACATAACAGCTTCAATGAATAAAAAAAGGTTTCTCAAGAGTGCTTCAGTAGTAATAAACCGAGAAGTTGGTTAATAAAAAAAATTGACGTTAGAGGGGTAGCGATTTTGTCTGTTTTATTTCACAATGTGTAAACCAAGGGACAGTAAAAGACATGCAACTTGACGCTGAGCAATGTTTTGCAGCTCAAAATTCTTCCAAACAAAATAAAAAGGTGGGTCTTACACAAATATAAAATAAAAATTCACCTGCGTAAAGGGAAACCATTTTTACAACGATTTATTTCCGAACAAGAAGATTTCAAGCTTTTCCGTGGCGTCGTTCAAGTCCAGATTTGTACATCATTGAAAATGTTTGGCTTCGTATCAAAAACATTACGAACCATGATTTAAAAGGTTCTTGAAGAACCAAATAGTCGTTAATTAAAAGAATTCTTCAGGTTTGGAATGAAATTCCACAGTAATACATTGCCCAATTATATGCAACCAATTCAAGAAGGCATAAAGCGGTTTCAAAAGTTCATAGCTCCCTTCAAAATATTGTAATTTGAAACTGTTAAAAGACGTTTTGAAACTGTTATTTTAAAAAAAGTGCTCTAAAAAGATTGAAGTTTTGATTGGTGGTTGTTTCACTTCCGATACACTCGCATTCGCCACATAAAAACAATCAATTCGCGCAGCAATAGTTTTTCGATAATTCTTGCGCCATTTTCCCTCCTTCGAGGTGGTGCAATACTTTTGTGAGGGGAGTGTATATTCTTTAAATTTAATTTATTTTGAAAATTTATTTCGTGACATTGGATTCTCGTCGTCGTATTGCTTTGTTCCTGTATATCTTTCATAAAAAACTTCGTCTTAATTTTTCAGAAAAATATCGTTGAAGATGACTGTGAAATGTATAAAAGAGGCCGTGGAAAATTTTCGTAGCGCCACAGAATTGACAATTCATAGTTTCTATACTGTTGTAGTGCTTAGGACAGTGTCGAGTTAAGTCAGCTTGTTGAGTGTAAGTCACCTTGAGAAGAGCTACCACCTTAAGATCAGGGATAAACAAACATGGCGATCTCGTTGGAAACGGTAGTTGCTCTTTTGCCGGTAGCGTTTTAAATGACAACCTCTAGAGCTTAAAGTTTTAAAAGCTGTCGTGCTGACGTGAAAGTTAATGTGCATCATGGAAGCAAGAATAGTTGACCCTTATACTACACGATACGTGAGCCTTGGCTCAGGCCCGCGAGAAAGAGCATCGGCTTGTGGCTGCAATTACAGGACAAAGACACCAAAGAAAATAGGGTCCTGCTACACACACCTAAATTCTGACCCAGTGTTGATTTCACATGACAGGCAGCAGAAAGGCTTGGCTGAAAAAAAGTAAATAGCAAGTATTATTATACGACTAAAGTTTATAACTGTGTACGAACCGAAGCTTCTTTGATATTTATTCTAACTTGAGCCCAGTCTGGAGAGTGTGTTATGTTGTGTGCACACACAAAATTTTTTCAAAGGCTTGTCTAGTGCAAACAAAAACATAGGGCTGCACACAAATTTTTCTGGGTACTGAAAATGTTTCTAGTAACACCGTTTAAAGATGCTAATAGATTTGGATTTTTAGTGTTCATTAAACCGTTTTAATTTGATGGAAGTTGGCCAGCATCAGAACCATATAATTGTTACAAGTTGAAAAAGCTACTGTCAAAATTATTTTGTTAATCATAGGGCCAATCTAGTCTCTCATAAAAGCTATGAGAAAGGCACAGTTAGAATCCATCAAATATCCATGTAGTCATGTATATTATGCTATATTTATGTTTATAATGGACAGCTTTGCTTGCAGCTAAAATGCTTCTGCTTGCAGGTTCCAGCTAATAATGTGCCATTGGTCGCAATGACAAATAGGCAAAATCTTATATAAGTTTTCCAACCTAGATGTTTAGTGTGTTTACAGATTATTGTTTCTGATGATACTCCCATCCCAATTTTAAAAGCTCTGTAATTCATAATTTTTAAGGATCACACCCTATAGATTGCTGTAGAATGCCCCTGGGCTCATATTTTTTTTTATCATATTAATTTTTATACAATGCATGCTTACGTCTACATCCTACTATACTTCCTAATTACTTTACAAAGTGTACAACACTACAGGGACGGGACCACAGGGAGCAAAAGACAATGGCTACCCTGTGGCCATTAACATAAAAAGTATATAACAGGTAGCAGCTAAATGAAACAATTACGGACACCTACAAATACTATTAATTACTGATAACTACTAGAACCCGTTTCACATTGGATGTTCGGTCAGCATATGAGAAGGATGCTAGAGAACAGGAACCACGGACGACGGAGAGTTCCCATTGCCCAGCAGACTGTACATACTCTTTCAGGTTAAGGTTCCAGATTCTATAATATCGATGGTCTGATATACTTCTGATTTGTTTTGAAACAAATTATGATCCACATGCCTACTCTTAGTGCCTAATTGCCATTCCCCTGCTAGTTAATTTTTGAAAATTTTCCCAATTCCCCTGCTCTTATTAGGACCCCTAATAAGATAAATAATAGCCTATATAATAGTGAAATAAGCATACTGATTTTAGTGCATTTTGAGTATTCAGTATATGTAGTCTTCGCTTCATAACCTGGTAATTGGAACACCCACCAATTAATTTTGAACTTAAAATCCACCCCATGTTTGTTCTGATCCCCCTGGTAATTAGGCACCTAAGAGTAACATCAGATGTGAAATAGATTTGAGGCACATGGATCATAATTCGGTTCATATTGTATGTCAATATCTTGATTTGATTTTTTAAATGACCCATGCTCATGTCGCTTCTCTGGAAACTATAGCCTAAGTTTTCTGTTAGTTTTCTAAGCAAAGGGTGGTCAAGAGAGACATTGCCCATGGGTAAGAAGATGCATAGAAAGTATAAGACTTTTCAGAAATCTACATAATGTGACTTAAGCTCAAGCATCACTCGCCCTATCCTGGATCTTCTTATACTTTCTTGGTTAATGTCTGCAAAAAGCCAGATTTTGATGAGAGGCTTAGTAAAGAGAATTGAGACTGTGATCTTGTATATTTAAGCTTGCTTGAAACTGTGGGTATGTGTTCAATTTTTCAAGCTTTAAACTTTGAATAATAGATTCCTTGTGTGATCCTGCTTTTAAAAAATTATCTGCAGTTAATAAGATCAAGATTCTTTGATGAAAGGCTCATTATGTTGATTGAATTGTGTTGAAATTGACTGACTGAGACCCCCAAAAGTCCTCAAAACCCTACCACACAGCTGCTACGCTGTCAGAAAAGTCAAAATGTATGAATGAACTCATGCTAATTAAAAACCGTATTTGAGAAAAGCTGAATAGTCTGCCAAAATTACGAACCATGTCAGCACTATTGCACACATGCACACATTTTTATTTGATCTTGTACAGACAAGAGCTTGTCGAGAACTGCTATGCTCTGCAAGCAACTAGGAATTCTCCTGCATATATACACACATTGTTTAAAGTTGCAGAAATTGGATGTAAATATCAAAACCAACTTCTGTTTTCATGCTCAGTTGACAGTTATAAACACACTAAACTTTGCCTACCTACAAAAGTAGTGTAGCTTGACCTACCAGACAAGTGGGTGATGGGTCATCATAAGCAGAATTTACCAACAAAGACAAACCGTAAGAAAAATTTATGTGCAACTCGAAGTTGCTACTTTAAACTGTCCTCTTGTATACATACTTTCTTGCAGGGAGATTTCACCTTTGGTGAAACAATTAAACAGAGAGCCATTCCAAATACCACCAGGGAAAGGAAGACTGAAAAGAAGACCTTACTCTGCAATGACACAATCTCAGTTGGATTCGTATTATGAACAGTCTCCTTTTGTCAATCGATTGATAGCAGGTGAATCTTGACTGAAATACTTCTTGTTGTTTCTAGCATATTTGTCAAGTGGACAAATTGCCACATGCTTGAGTCTTAGAATCAAAATTCTTAAGGGATAAATTAGTAGTAGTGTGATATATCAAAATTTTATGTATCCAATTTAATAAATTCAAACAAATTAAGGGATGAATTTTAATGATTGCAAATTACCAAACATATATTTTTAAAGAAACGCACACATTTTTTTCATATTATGACTAGATTTGACAGTTCCCAAAAATCAATGGTTGAGAAATTACCTGAATGAATGTTTATTTCACAAGAAACAGCCACAATAAGAGTACCCCAGAAAACAACAAAACCATAGTTATTTCAAAAGTTCAAAGAAGCAAATATTCTCAACAATTTTACTAAAAGCTGATAAACATCACCTCAAACCTAGGTTTTGAACCATGTACCAGTTGTAATCTTTAATCTATTGATTTTTTCTTGCCAGTTAGTAACTTTTATTTTTGTAAGCAGTAACATTAAAACGAAAGCAGTAACGAAAAAGTGGTAAGCTGTGAAAGATCAATACAATACTGAACAAGATTATAACTGCCAATAAAGCAATTCACATTCTTCTGCTTCCCTTTAGAAACATCGAACAACAGCATTTTAGGCCACAAACAAAACACAATTATTGAGTTAAGCTTTTTTTCAGAATATCAGATTTGATAAGAATGTTTCCAGTAAACACCTAACAACATGGAAGTTTAAAACTTTAAAACACAAGTTTAAAATATCCTTGAAAAAGTTTATGTTAACAAATCTGACTAGCTCTATAGGAACAGGAATATGTGTTATTTTAGGCAGTAATAATAATTCTGAATTTTTGTTTGTTTTTGTTTCAGGATTGTTTTGCATTTCCTTGTTATCAGAATATTAAAGATTATTCTCAATTGCATATTTTACCTGAAATGTAATAAGCAATGAGATATATCAAGCTTTACTATTGTTGATTAACATGTTTGCTTTTTAAAACTATTTCAGTAAAAGGACAGAACATAAGCTACCAGGAAAGACCAGTTGCTAGAAGAATATCAGGTATTTTATTTCTTTTATTCTTCTGTTCAAATTGAATTAAGACCTGAGGTAAGTGTCTCTAATCATCTATTATCTAAACCTTTGCTTACGATTGCAAGTCAGAGATTTTTTTACTTTAGAATTCTTTGTAAAGGGTTGAAATTATATGGTGACTTTATAAGCAATATATTGATAATAGTGTTGTAGCTAAGGGCTATGAATCTTGCACACATTATGATAAAAGCATGAAAATCTGCACAACTACACAGTTTGATATGCTGAATAAGATAGGACCGGGACCCAGACTGTTAAATGCCCCAAAATGCTATTTTTGGAATGCTTAATTGTTCCCAGACTCCTAAACTGATTATCTCTATAACTTTGTTGAAAACGAAATCAAAAACATGAAAATTGGTATAGATACTAATCAGAACACAGTTATGTGATTTAGATTCACACCTATCGTCAAAATGCCCCCAAATACTAATTTGAGACCATGTACTCGTTCCCAGACCTCAAACACGCTGATCTCCAACTCTGCTTAAAATAAAATCAATAGCAAGCAACTTGATTTAGAAACTAACGATAGCACACTAAAAGAATTTGGTTTGGCACGCATCTTCAAAATGCCCCCGAATGCTATTTTTAGAATGCCTGTTCCCAGACTTCTAAATTGATTGTCTCTTTAACTTGGTTGAAAACCAAATAAATGACACGAGAATTAGTATAAATGCTAATCATAACACGGTAATGTGACTTAGATTCACAACCATCATCAAAATGCCCCTAAATGCTGTACTCGTTCCCAGACCTCTAACACGCTAATCTCTACAATTTCTCTAATAATGAAATCAATAACAAGCAACTTGATTCAGATACTGATGATAACAATGCCAAAAAGACTTTAAGGCAGTGGTCCTGAAAAATCAAAACAGGGGAGGAGCTTAACTTAGCTTTCTACTTCCTCTGCTTTGTATACTGCCAGCAATCTGCAAATTTAGCTAACGAACCATTATATCAACGCATGCAGGGTCGTATTAACCATTAAGCAGACTAAGCATATGCTTATGGCACCACAATCAAATGGGGCATCACATTACTGGGAAATGAGTGAGAAGAAAAGAAAAAATATGTGGCAAATGTAAAATTGGCAAAGCTGGTGTAAATTTACCAAAATATGGTCAAACAAAATATGGTCAAGCAAAATATGGTCAGGTTATGTTCCTTGGTAAATGTAAAAGAAATTGACAGAACTATTACAGATTGATGTAAATTTTCTGCTTCTTGATCAGGTAACTCACTGCTAGCGCATTGCAGTCTGGCATCTGCTGGTCAATATGATCTTTAACAAAGTCACATTTTCCTGTGAACTCTGTGTCTATGATGTAATGTTTACGGTATCCATGATATTCTACTGCATTAGTAAGAATATACCAATCACCTTCTTTGATTCTTTCTCTAAATTCTAACAGATAACTTATAAGCACTTAGTATAAGTAGTTATCTCTAACAATCGATATATTTTTACTTTTTGATCTAGAGAAACTGCTTGTATTCACTCAGTGACAGGTCTAGGGGGTGTTATATGAGTTCCAGCACATCTGGTCTGAGCTTTAGTCTTTTGTTGAGTAACCAATTAGTGAAGGGTTTGGTCAGCAAGATCTACCGGGGCTTTTCCAGCTCATTCTGCTCCCGTTTGGTGTTCTGTTATCGACTCCTTTGGTAATTGCATAGTTCTGTTATCCACTCGTTTGGTAATTGCATAGTTCTGTTATCGACTCCTTTGGTAATTGCATAGTTCTGTTATCCACTCGTTTGGTAATTGCATAGTTCTGAGATTGACTCATTTGGTAATTGCATAGTTCTGTTATTGACTCCTTTTGGTAATTGCTTAGTTCTTTTAATGACACCTTTGGTAACTGCAGAGCGATCTCATACACTTCTGGTCAAAGGTTTTTGATTTTGTCTGGCAGAAAACGTCTTCATCAGAAAACACCATTTGTAATTCCGCATTATTATTAGGTGGATTGGCAGCATTATCTCTGATAGGTCTAATGCCATGATTTCGATCCAATGAACCTCGATCTGCTCCTGAATGCAAAGTCCTTGTCGGCTAGCACTAATGACCTGCAAGGGACATCTTCAAGGTAAATACGTTAATGCCTGCTATGCAGTAGGCTTCTCTCGACCAGCAAACGATTCAACTGTATCAAAAACTGATGGTGCATACCGAAACATGGAATAGAATTTGTCTCGCGATGCCTGAAAGAATATAATAGATCGGTATCCCCTTTAATTTTTTATCCAGTAGCCAACCCTACCCAATACTTTTCGATATTCAAGCATGGAAATTTAGCAATTACGATAATAACAAAATCTATCAAAACTGGCTTGTATCTAACTCCTCGTGATTGCAAAGATTCGACTCATTACAAACTGAGTGGCCTTTTTGTAAGTGTTCCATTCAACTTCAAGTGTTCCGTCCAACTGTGTACTAATGACTATCTTTCCCAGCGCGAAATCATTTGTGATCAAAGCTAATTTGATCGGGGTCTTAATCGTACTTTCAAATAAGTATTTCATACAAGATTAATAGCATTTAGTTGGTTTTTAGCGACATTCCAGAGAAAAACTCTTTAGAGATCTGGGAACCATTACACATTCTAAATATAGCATTCGGGTAGCATTTTGAAGATGGGAGTCAATTTAAATCCTTCACGAGTGAAAATCCAATCCTTCTAAATCTTTGTTTGTTATGATTAGTATTCTTGCTAACTTTCATGTCATTGATTTCAATTTCAACAAAGTTATAGAGAAAATCAATATATGTTGTCGAACGCATTTTGAAGATGCGTGTCGAACCAAATTCTTTTGGTGTGCTATAAATAGTATCTAAATCAAGTTGTTTGCTATTGATTTTATTTTTAGCGGAGTTGTAGAGATAAGCGTGTTAGAGGTCTGGGAACGAGTACATGGTCTCAAAATAGTATTTGGGGGCATTTTGACGATAGGTGTGAATCTAAATCACATTACCGTGTTATGATTAGTTTCTATACCAATTTTCATGTCTTTGATTTCATTTTCAATAAAGTTATAGAGAAAATCAATTTAGGAGTCTGGATACAATTATGCATTCCAAAAATAACATTTTGGGGCATTTAACAGTCTGGGTCCCGGTCCCATCTTATTCAGCATATCAAACTGTGTAGTTGTGCAGATTTTCATGCTTTTATCACCATGTGTGCATTCATTCTGCTTATCCCCTACACTTTATAAACTTTTTAAGGTTTGCAGAATTATAAACTGGTTTTTGCAGTAAGTTGAGATTAAAGAACTGTGGTTAATGAAATGTTAATGTATTCTTTCTAAAGGAAAGATGCCAATTTTCTTTTAGGTTTTCTTTTCTTTTCTCTTCTTGAAAACCATGGCTTCTTATTGAATAAACTAGTCAAATAAAAAGTTTAATAGCTTTCTATGTGTAAACTTTTTAATGCAGCACACAAATGTTAAAATTTCTACAATGCCTGCCAAAAGTACTTGGAACACCTACCAATTTACGCTGCATTTTATATCTTTCATTCCTTTCATGAAAAAAGTTGCTACTTCCGCCCCTTCCCCCTAAAACAATGTTGATGATTCAGAGAAATATCATAAAAAAAGCGCAAAAGAAAGTGCTTCCTAAAACCCTAACCCGTTTGATTGAAAACCAACATTGTTCCGTGGGGGAGAGGGGGATGATTGGTTTTGACCTTGGAAATTGATGTCAGTGTTCCAAGACTTTTGGCAGGCATTGTAGTTGATGCAGCACTCTGTCGTAATTTAATTCTCATTGCAATGAAAAAGTTTACCTCTCGTAAAGCCTTATAATTGTGAAGTTTTAAATATGAATTTTTCAATTTTGTGCGGCTATTTGTTCAGTGGCTGATGAATTTTTACGTGAAGCTTAGTTTCAATAATTTTTTGAAATCACTACTAATCTTTAAAGATGATTTACGCATCATTTTGAATCTGGAGAGCTTTATCTTAATTAAACGTTCGTTTTTTAAGAGAGCTCCATGATTGATCAAGCGATTGACAGTGTACAGCAAGCAACATACGCAGAGTTATCAAGATTAGCGTCTTCTCCATTAAGTCGAATCGAAGTTCCGATCCCACCGTGTCCATCTCCCGAGGAGCTTGTTGAAGATTGCGAAGCCGAAAGTAGTAATAAACTTGACAGGAAAGTTAGAGAGTTCTCAGATGAAGTTGGCATAACTTTAGAATCCGAATCTGCGATGACCGAGAAAACTGATAGTGGTAACTCGAATGTACATGAAGACATAACCAGAGCTTCTTTAAACCACATTGCACATGTAGACATAAATGACTTAGGGCTGGAAAAAGATGCAGAAATGATGAACTATCCAACAAAAACTCATTCTAAAAGAGCTGTTTTAGCCTGGGGAAAGAAATTAGAAATTGCAGTTCCAACTGGGAAGGAAAGTGAAATTTCAGATACTGATGAAGATTTTCCAGCGCAAGTTGCTCGGAAGGGTGAACATTTTGACGAAACTGAGACGGTCTCTTCTACTGGTGCAAGTAGAAAGAAATTACCTATGTCTAAAAATAATTTCAAGCTGAAACAAGAACCTCGAAAAGTTGAAAAGAAAAGACCCTTCTCAGCATCAACTGTCAATTATTCGGCTCTCAGAAGTAAAAGTATAGAGTTTCTGTCGGAAGAAGAAATATCAAAAGCAAAATTGTATATATCAGAGAGAACACTAGAAACACTTTTGTATATGGATTTTCTTAAAGAAAAAGACAAATTAAAGAAAGATGATTGCGAGAGAGATATAGAACTGTTAGGAAAGCAACTTTCCAATTCCTGTCACTTAAAAGAAGAAAAAGAAAAGCGGAAGAATGAAATACCCCCTGAAATGCAGGTTGGTATTTTTTTGCAATACATTTTGTTGTGTTTCAACAAAATTGCTAACATAAAGAAAATGTAAAGAGAAAAGGCCTTTATAAAATGAAAAGGCTATGAGCCTGTGTGAGGATGGCTCAATTATTCGGATCACGGTCTAAAGACCCAAGAATCTGAGGTTCTGGCCACTGTTATGACCAAACGTTAATTTTGAATGAGGAGAGACACCATCTCTCTATAATTCCAGGCGTCGTAAGTACGAAGTGGAGCTACATCAAGACGAAGACTCAGACACTGCTTGATAAATGTCGCCTCTCAATGTCTCATAAACTACCTTTTGATGCTAGGTAGAAACCTTGTTTAATCCAAAGATATTCGGTAAGCAAATTTCAAAGGAGCTCAAACTATTATGGGGTTTTTAGCTAAAATTTCCTTGTGATTATCATTTCCTTGGTTAAAGGTAATGTATTCATATAAAAGGACTGTGTATACCCAACTTGTCAAGTAATATCAAAATAACGGCTTGCGATTGGTCAGCATTCTTGCGATGCAAAACTGCTCACATGAAAAGCTAGCCTCGCAGTGTAGAAGATAAACAGAACGATCACAATGGCTGGAGCAATGAAATGAAAATTTCTGAAAACCACCGCATAGTTGCTTGCTTTAGCTGGACACATTATCTTTAAAAGTGATACATAAGATGATATAATGAGAAAATTTTACAGTGGAATATCGTTTGATTGTATAAAGGTATTTCGGATTAACAAATTAAAATTGTTTTTTTCTCCAGGTATTCTCGATAGCACATATGATAAGGGCTAGAAAAGAACGTCCTGATTCTGGTATGAGGAAAAACAACGGAAACAGAATTTTTGCTAAAGGGCAGGAGGCAGTTGGTGTTCGTGGAGCACGGAATGATGAGAAGCGACCAGCACGCGGCAATAGTGCCAATTGTGCAAAAAGAATACTTCTCAAAGCTGATAAAGAGATTATCGAGCTTAAAAAAGAAAGGCAAGAAGATGTTTCTATGATATGGAGAAGTATTTCGGGGATAGACCTAAAGTGTAAACAAGATAAAACCGAGAATGCTCCCGTGGACGAGGCTGATATAGCTACTGGGGAAATCTCAGGGATTGAGTCCAGGGAAATGAAAAAAGCTGGAAATGATGGATTGAATACAGAGGGTGACAAAATACCTGATAATAGAAACTTGAAGTTATTACCGGAGAGGAAAACAAGAGAAACGTTAGTGGATGCCGTAGTATCATCCGATTCTGAGAAAACCTCAGGCAAACGGATCTCGGGAGACAATGGAACAGACACCTGCTTGGCAAAAGAAAGAAGCAACAAATCAAGAACGCACATTACATTTTGCAAAGAAGAAAAGAAACAGCGGATTTTGAGACCTACAAGTGCCGTTATTCAAAGACAGCTACGGTCCAGATCTTTAAAAAACATAACCTCTGCAAGTTTGCAAGATCCAGCCGGTAAAGCAAGGCCGGAATCTTCTCCGCCGCTATCGACTGAAGCGAGGCGATCGATGTTGAAAAGGAGACAAGTATCTGCTAGCCAAGTACGCAATAAAGCCAATGAAAACAAAAAAGGGTTGAATACAAAAGTAATCTCATCAGAGGTATTGATATCTCGAAGTTTATTGGAACTAGATCTTGCAGCTTTGAAATTGTTTTTTTAACGATCTTTTTTTGTTCGTAAACTGTCTAGAGCTATTATTTTGGTAATATGAATCGAGACATGTCAATTTCGAAGGTTTGCTCAACTGTTCTACATGAGGTACAAAATACAACGGAAAATTGAGTTTTAAGATATTTAGAAAGATTTAATTTTCATGTGAGAAACAAAGATTCTTTTGATAAGAAAATTTTTTTGAAGCTGTAACATTTTATATATTTTTAGGACTTTGTAACGATTTAATCCTGAACTAAATTGTTGATTTTTTCTACGTTTTTCTATTTAATCCAATTTCCTGGTTAGTCCTTTTTTGAAAAAAGTTCAGGCCGCAAAGTGTTGTCAATAAAGCTGTTTTCAAGCACATTGACAAACAAAGACATTAATTTAGGTCGTAATTAAAAACACGCTTAATCATATCTCTTATTTATTCCTTTTATTCTGAATCTACTGATAAAAATCTCCTAGAACCAGGATCCTAAAAACATGCAAACAATCTTTTGGTGGTACAAAACTTGAAAATGGCTTTGAGAAAATCAAACATTTAGTAAACTAAAGCTTTTCGTCTGACACTCTTCAGAGTTTAAAACGTCAGAACATAGACCGAAAACTCTACGTTACTAAATGTTTGCTTTTTTCAAAGCCAGATCCGAAAGATGCTAAACGATCTCTCTTATTCGAATTTCTTTATCTTCTTATTTCTTTCTTAGAGCTTAGATCTGAAGCCAACTAATCAACAGATTTTCCTGACGTCAAAAGTGGAAGAAAAGGCAATACCAAAGAGGCCGAAAAGTGGCGAGAAAATTAAGTATGTATATTCTTAGATAGGAAAACTTTTAATATTGTTGTTCTATCCACCGCAAGTCACACGATCAAATCGCCACTTATCGAAATAAATGACTTTTAAAAAAAAATTATCATTACAAGACCAAATGTGCCACCCGAGGGATTAATGGCTGATAATTCTTAGATAAAATAAGCTCGAAATAATGACAGTGTAAAGTTCCCTTTAGCTGTTTATCTAAAGTAGGCCATAACCAACCTGTCAAATGCCTTTGATTGTCAAAACATTTTCGTTTTCATGTGAATTGCAATTCCTTCATTTCCAGTGTGTTCGTCAATATACCCCTAGATGTATAGAACTGAGATGTAGTTATATCTAGCGCTAAAAATATAGTTTTGGTGATGTAAGCTTATAGAAAATCAAGACATCTTGAAATGTGGAGAATTTCTCATCTTGACTTCGAAGGAACTATAACCGTTGACAGCGGGACTTTGTTTCTTCTAAACCTACTAAAATATAAAAGAGATAAATTTATTTTAAAAATTACAAACAAATATATGATAAGCAATCGGTGACACATCACTTTGTTCACTGACTATTAAAAAAGCTGAGCACAGTTTTTTCACATGTTATTTTATTTTTATTCCGTTTATTTTTCATTCTTAAAGCACTCAAAGGAAGAAAGTCGTTCCAAAAAGACCAATATCTGCACCTTCCAGTAAGTGTAACTATTTCTGTATTCTCTTATTTTTCTTTCACAAGGTAACTTTTGTAATGTGTTGAACATGAAATATTGTTTGAGAAGCTTAACTGTTATCTGTATAATTTAAATGTGGGCCTTCTAGCTTTCAATATACCCTACCCAAACAGCTTATGAAAACCCTACTGCGAAATTGCTATGTCATTCTGTTGTTGTTGCTTGGATATATACTTTTATAATGTTGTTGTTGAAGTTATTCATAATAATGGTGGACAAGGGCACGCGATTGTGTTCTTTCCTTGCACAATCGTACACCTACCCTAACAATCTAATTGGCCATTAACCCATATTTGAGAGCTACTTTTGTCAGGTTTAATAAATATAAATCCCCAACTTTCCCTTCTGTTGGGATGTTTTTCCTTGTGTTTAATTTTCATAAGGAGCTTTCCTCACAAAGATATTGTACCACCTGGAAGGAGGAGAAATGGTACATGAATGATCGAAAGCTATTGTTATGCAAATTAATTCTGTTTTTAAGTGGGGAACGGCAATTGGTCGAAAGCAAAACATCCACCAATCAAAACTTCAATATATTTCGGGTTTTTGTTTAACAGATAACAGTGACAAACGTCTTTTAACCGTTTCAAATTTCAATGTTTTGATGGGTAGCTGTAAACGTTTGAAACCGCAAAAAGCCTCCTTGAAATGGATCCATATTTTTGGGCAATGTATTTTTGTGGAATTTCGTATTAGGCCTGGAAACAATTAACGATTCTCTGGTTTTTGAACAACCATTTTGACCATGGTTTGTAACGTTTTTCATTTGAAGTCAAATTTTTTAGCGATGTTAAAAATTGGACTTGATTCTGGCTTGATGATGTCAAAGCTTTAATTTCTTTTGTTTGGAAATAATTCTTTTTTAAAATGGTTTCCGTTTACTTAGGTAACTTTTTCGTTTTGTGTGTAAAACACTCATTTTATTTTCTGTGGACGGATTTTGAGCTGTTACTTTCCAACGATTTTTAAAAAAAATTAGTGTATTCATTTTCATGCTAGCTTAGCTCTTTACTCTGATTCTGATCTCCTTTGATGAAGACAAAATTGGAGCCTTAGATGATGACAAATGAACATTCATCAGAGTTCATTTCACAAGGGACGATTTTCCTCTAGTTATTTCACTGGGAGCTCTTATTGTTTGGTAATATTGATGGTCTCATGTGACTTGCTTTATCACGGTTTTTATGTTCCCCTTTAAATTTTGAAGAGTATCTTTTGGTCTCATGAGGGTTTGGTGATGAAATACTAGTTTGTTTCATAGTGCTTTTCTTTTTTTTCATAATGTTTGGCTGTATTCCCTTTGTTGAGCCCCATTAAAACCGAAGTGTTTGTCATTCCCAACCCTTTCACTTATATTTTGTTTCTTTGTATGAGTATTTGGTCTTCTGGCTCAACTTAAAAGACATTTTGAGTTTCTTATTTCGGCATCAAGAAAGCTTCTGATACTTTTTGGTATAGTTTTGTCTTTTTTTAAGTTTTGATGCTTTTAGGTAGGACTGGTGCATTGGCTCATAGTGCGGAAAGGGGATTTTCTTGCCCATTCTCTACCAAAAACAAGTTGTAATTGGGCTTTTGAATAGCGTCTACTAGTATCCGCTATCTAGTTGTTTGTACTAATGCACTGATGGCCTAATTCGCTTTTTGTTATGTTGGAATATAGCTTCACTACTGATTCACTAATGCTTCCTTGAATTAGATAAAAGGGGAATATCTGAAGGGAAATATGGTGTGCCACAAGGATCTACTTTAGGTCATTGCTATTTCGTTTGCATATCAATGACCTGGTCAAGGGTATAAAAAATTGAATTTTTTCTTACAATTAAACTATATTTTCCATAGGAGATTTAAAGATTTTTTTTCAGAGAAGTAAGCAGCAGAATGATTGCAATAAATGTTGATGGAGACAATAAGAACTAAAAGGCTTGTATGTCGGTGTTTTAACGTTCAAATATAACATCTCTAGAAGTTGTGAACAAATGTAGGGAACCGTTAAACCATACACCCGCAACAATAAATATGCAGCTCGAATCCTGTGTATTTTAATCTGTAGGTTAAAATAAAAGCAGGAATGATGAGTTTTTGGTTTCAAGGTCCCAAGATATACACTAAACTTCCAAGCATCCTTCGGCCTTTAAAATTACTCCTTCTTTTGAAGATAAATTAAAAAAATTCTATTTAGACATTTTAAATTATATTATGTTTTTTAAAATGACCATCTGTACCTAATTTCTATATTTACTTTCTTTAACATTTTATTTCAATCTTTACTAAATCGTTGATATAGATACAAGAACCTCATTGAAAACATCACTTAGTGCTGTAGGGGTTACTCTATATAAAAATTTTAATCAGTCAATTTATTCAGTCATCTATTTCTTAATTCATGATGTCTGTAGCATGTTGCTATGAGGCATTAATTCCTCTACAGCTTGTATTATAAGTTCTTTCCCAAGGTCAGTAACGTCTATAAAAGTTATTATACTGCGTGTATTATAGTAGCATATGAAAATGTCAGTAACGTCTGAATTTCGTAAACTAAACCTCTTCTGGCTGATTCCGTACACGTCATATCGTTTATAAATAAATTAATGACCAAATCTAAAAAAATCCTTTTTTCGTCTTGTCGGTAAAATCAAATTAACGGCTTTTTCTTTCGCAACCATGAAAACTTGAAATTCAGCTTCAATGCTTCCATCAAGAAGAACATTGTAGATTATTCTTTTGAATTAGATTCCGGTGTTCCGGTGGTCATATAATTTTCTTTATCTTAACACAGGCACTCAGTGCCACGAGAAAATCCTTTTTAGTTTATTCGTAAAACATTTATTGAATTCAAATAGTAATGACAATTTTTATATGGACCCGTGTAAATGGAATGTAAATGCACAGTGTTCCATATTGTATATCATAAATCTTGGTAACGAGACCAACTTTGTCTTTGGCACTCATGGCTTGTTAACCAACATTTTCCAGATTTTTGATTACTTATAATATTTACTGATTTAAGTGTCGTAGGTTACACGCTTTTTTGTGAGTTTATGGTTAGTTTTTAGATGGTCTAATTGAACGTAGGGAAATCAGCAAAAAATGTTGCTTTAGCTGTATTCTGTAGGGGTTTTTAGTATTTGTAGTTGCAGTCAAATGATGAAGTATATTAATCCACCTATACGTTTTAGAACAATACAACCATAATATAGAAACAACGACATGGTATCTCCCAATAACAATTATTAGGGGTTTTTTATCCTGCAGTATTTTAAGTCCTCGGGATTGAAAAGGAAATTCTTTATTTGATGCGCTATCAGCTGATACGAAGAAGAATTATACTGTAATCTATGCTATTTTTGGAAGGCAAAATGTAATCTTTAATGATCTGCCTGTAATATCAGGGTATTTGCTGCTGCCAGTAATATCAGGCTATATCGTGCTCACTTTTATTTTCAGGACCTCTGCAAAGACCGGGTAATGTCAACGGAATGGATATAATACAGGTAAAAAATGAACCTTTTTGCATTAAAAAGTTTTACAATTTTTCTCTGATTGATCTTCATTGAAAATAATTTATCCTTGATAGGTAGTCCGCAACTCTCCTTCTTAACCATATCCTGCAACTCTCCTTCTTAACCATATCCTGCAACTCTCCTTCTTAACCATATCCTGCAACTCTCCTTTTAAAATCCTTTAACTAAGCCTGGTATTGTCAGAAAATGGTATTGTCAGTCCTACATTATATTGCTAAAAGATACTTAAGCACCGGAGAGAAAATATAAAAATTTCTATTTGCCCGTTTTTCGCTTAGAATATCAATTCGAGAGTTTTATGATTGGCCTGATTTAGTGCAAAGAATACAGAATATCTGTCCTAATAGCTTTATAAACCTATAACACAAACCTTTCAAAGATGTACTTGTCCCCGAATCTTAACCGATAGGGCTTTTTGGCCAGACGTCTTTTGAATATTATCTCGTAAAGGCTCCTCTTCTCACACGGATATTCAAGGACAGGCTGATTCTGCACATTTTTGATACTACAAACATGGTTTAGCTAGTATGTTAGATGATATAACAGCCTTAAAAAAATTATCGACCATATCTCATTACCTTTTATTTTGAGAAACTTTGCACAATGGGAAAGGAAAATTTTAAGTTAAAGACCATTAGAATCATGAATATCAGAAATTGCCAGATTAAAACAGTTAAGATTTTTAAGGATCACATTTTATCTTTCTAACTTTTGAAATATGCCTTATCATTGATTCGAGAACTCCTTGGCCACTATAAAACCAACAATTGTTGAAACTAGCCAGCATCACCCTTGTTTATGTAGCTGGAAATAAGACAAATAAGTAAAACCTCTGCCCTATTTCTATCATGGCTGCCAACCGCTTGTACCATTACACAGATGAAGTTAAGCCATGTCCATCTTACCTCTCTAGCGTCTATGTCTGCATTCCATTTTACCATGCTTACTTCAACATTACTGATGACTGATAAAGTTAAGTTGACCTAGGAAAACTTCTTAGCCTTCTGTCTCTTGTCAATAAAAAGGTCTTCCACACATTTAAACATGAGATTGTTAGCATTAATCATGTTCACTGCGGTCTTCAGCACCAGGTACTTTTGTTGTTTCTGTCGTACGTTCAAATCTAGTAACAAGGAAAAAACTAATTGTGTCGATTCCAAAATGGAAAAAATAAATTTGTGTATTTCACAAAGATCATAGCCCGGTCCACCTTTGCTACTCATTGGATATCGCTCACAGGTTGCATATTGGGTTTGCAGCAAAAAGCATCTAAAATGAATTTGAAAAAAGCAGACATTTTTTAACATATTGGCTGAGAGCTTTTTTCGTCTGACACTCCTCAGAGCATGAAACGTCAGAATAAGGGTCCGAAAGAACACGATGAAAAATATATACCCAGTTGTGGATCGAAATAGGCCAATCAAAAAACGCAAGCACAAGACCGGTATAGTTGTCCAATCAGTGCCGCGTGCATAAAGAAAAATTACCACTAGAGTCCAAGAGAGAGAGAACGAACTCCTTTTGTCCTCACAATGGCGGCTTTTTCGTTTGGATCGATTCCAAAACTGCTAGATGGAAAGACGACCGGGCTCTGCCAATTTTCTGAAACATGTCGTCATTATAGAGTTTGGCACAGGCTGGCCTATCTGAAAGATGTTGACCGATGGCAGAATCACTTTTTTTAACAGTGTTTCTAGACCTACAAGATCGAGAAGGCGCTTCTCTTTGAGGGACAGTTTTGCAGCACTAGGAGAGCCTTTCCATCCATTCAAAAAGATTGCGTTCCCACCAACCAAAAAAGTTCCGTTGTTTTTGAATTTACGCGCTAGTGTGATTCTGGCTGCATAGGACGCACAACCGAAATATTGGGGAATAGAATAGAACAACATGTTCCTTCCAACATAAGAGACAAGACTGATGTCATCAAAACTCTTTACAAATTTTAGATATTTGACCCTATAACCTGAAACAGCACGCACAATCGGTTGACCTTCGTTCGTTCTACTGTAACTTGACATTCGTTCAAAACTAATGTACCAGGCCAAAGCAACAGTAATCCAGCAGCAAAACACATTTCTCAGTCAGTTTTGAGCAGATTCAGCTGATTTTGCATATTCCGAGACATTTTGTGGTTTTCTTTCATGGGATAAGAATATTATGTTTTTTTTCAGGATTACTTATTGTGTCCTTTTCATTAATTCAACGTGTCTTGGACTCCATTGGGTGGCAGAAAGACGTTTCCACGCTGTTACACTTTCTCTTGCTGTGTTTATCCTTTTTGCCATCTTGACAAAATTAGAGCTTTTTCATTCAATTTGTCAGGGTTTCTAGCGATCTGAAGTCTGGATATCGCACTGTTCTTTGTAAAGGGCAATTTCTGGACCATATCGATGAGCTATGTTAAAACTGGACAGGAAAGACCTTTTTTGAATGAATGAACGGAAAGGGTGTCTGACTACACGAATGATTTGAAATCAATTAGTTCTGCAATGTTGCTATACAGTATCTCTACTATATTAATACTATACAGTATCTCTACTATATTAACACTATATAGTATCTTTTCTATATTAACACTATACAGTATCTCTACTATATTAACACTATACAGTATCTCTACTATATTAACACTATATAGTATCTCTACTATATTGACACTATACAGTATCTCTACTATATTAACACTGTACAGTATCTCTACTATATTAACACTATACAGTATCTCTTCTATATTAACACTATACAGTATCTCTACTATATTAACACTATACAGTATCTCTACTATATTAACACTATGCAGTATCTCTACTATGTTAACACTATACAGTATCTCTACTATGTTAACACTATACAGTATATCTACTTTATTAACACTATACAGTATCTCTACTATATTAACACTATACAGTATCTGTACTATATTAACACTATACAGTATCTCTACTATATTAACATTATACAGTATATCTTCTTTATTAACACTATACAGTATCTCTACTATATTAACACTATACAGTATCTCTTCTATATTAACACTATACAGTACCTCTACTATATTAACAATATACAGTATCTCTACTATATTAACACTATATAGTATCTCTTCTATATAAACACTGTACAGTATCTCTACTATATTAACACTATATAGTATCTTTTCTATATTAACACTATACAGTACCTCTACTATATTAACACTATATAGTATCTCTACTATATTACCACTATACAGTATCTCTACTATATTAACACTATGCAGTATCTCTACTATGTTAACACTATACAGTATCTCTACTATATAAACACTATACAGTATCTCTTCTATATTAACACTATACAGTATCTCTACTATATTAACACTATACAGTATCTTTACTATATTAACACTATGCAGTATCTCTACTATGTTAACACTATACAGTATCTCTACTATATTAACACTATACAGTATCTCTTCTATATTAACACTATACAGTATCTCTACTATATTAACACTATACAGTATCTCTACTATATTAACACTATACAGTATCTCTACTATATTAACACTATACAGTATCTCTACTATATTAACACTATACAGTATCTCTTCTATATTAACACTATACAGTATCTCTACTATATTAACACTATACAGTATCTCTACTATATTAACACTATGCAGTATCTCTACTATGTTAACACTATACAGTATCTCTACTATATTAACACTATGCAGTATCTCTACTATGTTAACACTATACAGTATCTCTACTATATTACCACTATACAGTATCTCTACTATATTAACACTATGCAGTATCTCTACTATGTTAACACTATACAGTATCTCTACTATATAAACACTATACAGTATCTCTTCTATATTAACACTATACAGTATCTCTTCTATATTAACACTATACAGTATCTCTACTATATTAACACTATACAGTATCTCTACTATATTAACACTATGCAGTATCTCTACTATGTTAACACTATACAGTATCTCTACTATGTTAACACTATACAGTATATCTACTTTATTAACACTATACAGTATCTCTACTATATTAACACTATACAGTATCTGTACTATATTAACACTATACAGTATCTCTACTATATTGATACTATACAGTATCTCTACTTTATTAACACTATATAGTATCTCTTCTATATAAAAACTGTACAGTATCTCTACTATATTAACACTATGCAGTATCTCTACAATATTAACACTATGCAGTATCTCTACTATGTTAACACTATACAGTATCTCTACCTTATTAACACTATACAGTATCTCTTCTTTATTAACACTATACAGTATCTTTTCTATATTAACACTATACAGTATCTCTACTATATTAACATTATACAGTATATCTTCTTTATTAACACTTTACAGTATCTCTACTATATTAACACTATACAGTATCTCTTCTATATTAACACTATACAGTACCTCTACTATATTAACAATATACAGTATCTCTACTATATTAACACTATGCAGTATCTCTACTATGTTTACACTATACAGTATCTCTACTATATTAACACTATACAGTATCTCTTCTATATTAACACTATACAGTATCTCTACTATATTAACACTATACAGTATCTCTACTATATTAACACTATATAGTATCTCTACTATTGTTAACACTATACAGTATCTCTACTATATTAACACTATACAGTATCTCTACTATATTAACACTATACTCTCTACTATATTAACACTATACAGTATCTCTACTATATTAACACTATACAGTATCTCTTCTATATTAACACTATACAGTATCTCTACTATATTGATACTATACAGTATCTCTACTATATTAACACTATATAGTATCTCTTCTATATAGACACTGTACAGTATCTCTACTATATTAACACTATACAGTATCTCTTCTATATTAATACTGTACAGTATATCTACTATATTCATAATGTAGAGTATCTCTAGATTCGATAACATATACTACATTCATTGTATTGATTATTTATTGTTTCTATGGTTTAAAAACAGAAGTAAAGCAAAGCATCAACTTCTAAATATAAATTGAAGTACCTCAACATCAACAGCAAAAGATATCGCACATTTCGAATGAAAGGAATACCTTAGATTTCTATTTCAGATGTGCTACATTTATTCAGTGATCCTATTGTTCAATTTTTGCGACTAATTGAATTTTCAAGTTATCTTTGCTGTATTTTCTGATAGATTTTATTTTATGTGACTAGAAATTTATTGTGATTATTTTAAATATTTTTCTACCAGGAAGAGCAAAAAATCAGTGACGAGTGCACAAAGGTACTAGAAGCTTGCCAGAAAAATGGTATTATTATATCGATCGACACACTTAGAAGGTTTGCTTTTACTTTTTTTATAAGCTACACTGCATTACCTAATCTATCCTTGTAGTATTTATTAACAGACAAGATTCGATCCTAGCTTATGCCATGTAAGCCTGCAACAGGGACGACAAGAAGGAGAAGGGACGACAAGAAAATAATTGAATATTGCATTGTGTTTCTCTGATGTAACTCGGCGTACTTTCACAGAATCTTATCGAAATGGAGGCAATACTATAAGGGGACGTTTTACTTTGCGAAGCAGTTTCCTTGCCATTATGGCTTGGTGCTCATACCAGCTTCCAGGTATTCCAATCACGGTCATGACAATGATGTAGCGTTCGATATCTCGTCAAGAATGTCATTGTTCTTTTGATTCTAATTGGTATGCTGATCATATAATTTTATTTTGGCATCATCTGCCAATGATCTGGCAGCTGATAATCGCTTTCTGTTGATTGTTTTATGTGCTTTCCAAATTTTACTGCTTTGAATTTTAGAGCGTTGATGCCTCCCTGTGAAACAGCCAAGCCTTACAGCCGACAGAATCTACCACATCCCTCAAGGTCAGTTTTAGTATTTCTTTATCGTTCATGTTTTCTTTGCAGGGAAACTAGCCAAACTGTAGCTTTTTAAATTCGTTAAGAAAAGTAAACTGTTAAGTAAATGTTGTGAAAAAGTAAAATTTGAGTAGTGTTTACAATATTTTTCCTTTTCATGTAGAAATCCTCTTAGCCTGCATGATAATTAGCAAAACAATGAAAATTTTCCTTATTTTTAAGGTCTGCACGCAGGCTAGAATTCTCTGCGTTGAGAGAAACAAAGATATGCCTAAAAGGAATTACATTGAATGGCATGGAGACTATAAAAACTCGGATTTGCTTGATGTTTTTTGACGATTTGAGGCTTGTTTGGATATTGGAAGCACTTCATATTTTAGGACCCAAGATGCTCATACCGCCAGAAGTGTTTCCCTTTTAGCATCTTTTGCTACTTTCTTTTGTTTGGCTTTTGTTGATAACATTTACTCCATGTCTTCTATATAGGTTACTTACCACAACATGGAGTAGCGACAAGCAGTGAAGTTTTCAAGTCTCAAATTAGAAAATTAGATTCTGAACTGCCAATGGCTTTTTATGACATCACAAAGATCACGTTTTAGCTTTCATGGTTGGAAAGCAGTTGCATTTAAAACATTTATAGTTTTTACAATCTTGGTAAAAGGATTTGAAATTCCTATTTAACGAATGTTGTTGCAAACGAAGTGTTGCATTTCTGCTTTCAAAAAGAACTTGTCCTTCACAACAGTTACTGTTCAGTAAGTTCTCACCTCACAAAGAAACCGGTCTAAATGTTTTTCGTTTTGTTAAAGTTTTGAATTATTTTTTGTATATTATATATTTCTTTGTGAGCTACGTAGAAATTCTCTAATAGCAACTTAGCTAATGATTCATATTTCATTTTATGAAGGTAATGGTTTGCATACTGCATACGAAATTTTATTGATTTTCATTGTTTTCAGTATTTTCAGTGAGTTAAGGTCAAGAGTTATGCTATCAGGAATGATGCTTTCCTCGTTTATAATGCGTGTAAAATCATTTCGCTCTCACCGTTTCGCATACAACACAATAGCGATACGACACAATGCTCCACAACACGATGTGCACGCAACACAATACGCAATAAGAAAGCAGAAAAACGAAAAATTGCAACAATGCACATTGTGGCACCAGCGCAATGAGAATCAAGCACTGAGAGGTGTAACAATGAACTTAGACCACAAAAAATGCAACGATATAAAAACAAAAGTACATTAAGAAAGTACCGCAATTCGATGCAAGGGGAAAAGGGGAAGCTCAAAACATGCTGTTTTTTTTTCATTTTAAATCGATCAGCCTGGTCTGCCTCTGTTGAGGAATTCATGTTTGTGGGCACCTATTTGTTTGCTGCAAAAAACTTTCCCATCATTTTAAATTCTTTACGTCCTTATTTTTCCTTTTATCATTTGAAGCTGCGCACTTTAAACTTTGAAAATGTGCAGCAATTAGCATTTAATTATAATATACCAAATTTTCTATTAACTTTCTGGCAAAATTTGTCGTTGTCAGCTTTCCTTTGTTAAAAAACTAAATTGTCAACAGTTTTAGGCGTGTCAACAGCTATGGTTTTCAATCAAATTAAAGCGTACATGAATTTGTTTTCAATAGGAAATAGTTTTAGACATCTGGAAGTTTTGAATTGCTTCTCATTTCTAATTTATACTTTCAAACGATATTAGTCAAACTGTCTGACGTGCTTAATTATTATTTTAATTTGTATTTCCTTAACTTTCTAGCTTAGATTCTTGAATAAACTCTTGCAGATAGCTATATTGGATATAGTCCAGAGGCACAAGGAGAGCATTGCCACCCGACAAGGAACTTTACTAAACCAACCTTTTCCTAGTGTAGAATTAAAAACTAAATCTTGATCTGGTGGGATGTGATGCTTTTCCGAGATACGGGGGAGGGGCTTTATCCAAATACTGGAATAAAGCCTCTGAATATCCTATGAATAGATCAAGTTATATTTCTAATCCATGTTTAGCAAAAATATCATCTCCAATGGAACGAGAGTCACACTGCTGCCAGCACTAGGGCAACTGAGATAGGGAGAGGGATGAAATGTAGAGTCATTGTGTTTAGAGAAAGGAAATAGATAATCAATTTGATATTTGATTTGTCTCACAACGTTCTAAGCTGAAGCCATAACAGACTTATGCTAATTAGCATCTACTGTACATATTGTATATTCAAGATAATAAGTTGACATGTCGTTAAAATTCTCCTTTATCTGCACTGTCACTGAATTGTTCAGTATTTTAGTATCATCTTCGTCATCTAAACTTTTCTGGCCTGACTGAATCAATAGTTCTTCTTTTATCTCTGAATTTGGCTCTTCTATCTGATCTCCAAAGGCTCCCAATAAAGTTGCAGGCGTTGGATGTTCTTCCTAAAATTGAAACTGCGTCGAGGCATAGAGATAGATCTGTAGCTTTCTTGCCCCTTGCCAATGCTCTTTGAAAAAGCATCATTCACAGGATGAAGTCCCTTACCCCACACATCCAACATATGTACAATCCCAAAATATGTGACCAAAATTTTGAATCATACTTAAGTTTTTCGTGTGACACACTTCAAAGTACGTTAGAAGCTTCAGTAAGTTCAAAATTTTTGCTTTTACCTTGATTGGTCTACCGAAAAGAAGGGATGCACCACGCTTGCTAAATTTTGCAGTATATAGAAATTTCAACCCACAATAGACCAGTGAGGATGGCGACAGCATTAAACTGAACGCCAAAATGGCAACCTAAAAATAAATATTGCCTCAAGTTCGGCTGCAAAGCGGTGGTGCTTTTCCAAATCCCTTCAATGCATATTCTTTGCAATGTTTACCAACACCAATCTACACATACACTCCCCTCACGAAAGTATCCAAACAGTTTCGAGTTTTTGTTGCGAAACTGTTGTTAGAGAAATTTGTTTACAAATTTCAAATGCAGTTTTCATGACAACATTTTTATCAATTTCCTCGAATTTTTTTGGAATTTTTTAGGCTTTAATCTATTTATTCGTTGATAAAATAATCTTACCGATTTGTAAGCAAACTCTGTGAGGGTTTTTCCTCAAGATGGTAGCGACCGAAACAGTAGAATTGTCTTCTGAGCAGTATCTAGAAATAATGTTTTGTCACAATGATGGGAAAGAGCTATCATTAAATTGCTAATATCATTGGATGCCCAAAGACTGCCGCTTTTGAGATATGCAAACAAATTTGAAAAATACGAAGTCTAAAACTTTTTCACGGCCAAAAAGAGCAAGAGCTCTCGGGACACCAGCGTCTGAGTGTTCCGCTCTAATCAAATTTTCAAAACTGATTTGCATGAACACTACAGCTGTACATAACTACTACAGCTGAATATATCTACTGTCACCGGTTAGAGCTCAACACCAAAGAAGATCTGGAAGAATTGTTAACATGGGCCCAAGATAGAAAGGGATGGAAAGAGTTAACAAGAGCATTAAAAAAAAAATTTTCAATCAGTTTTATGGATACCTGGATACGAATAAATCACTATATGAGCATCAGTCGGGTTTTCGACTCTTACACTCGGTAGCCACAGCCTTTCTGGCTAGCACCAATGATTGGTACCTGAATATAGATAAAGGAAAATACACTGGTCTAGTCTTTATAGACTTGAAGAAGGCTTTCGACACGGTCGATCATAAAATCCTACTGGAAAAAATGAATATGTACGGAGTGACCGGCCTGGAACATGACTGGTTCACATCATACTTGGAAAATCGTAAACAATTCTGCAGGGTGGATGGCACCTCCTCTGATGTGAGGGGAATAAATTGTGGAGTTCCCCAAGGCTCTTGTCTTGGTCCACTCTTGTTCCTGATTTACATCAATGATTTGCCTTTTTCCTTGCAAAAATCTCATTTTATGTATGCTGTTGACACGGCCATTTCCCTCTCTTCAAAAAGTATTGGTGACCTTCAAAATGACCTAAACGTAGATCTTTTGAAACTACAGGATTGGCTGCATGCAAATAAACTTTCCCTGAACGTAGTGAAAACGCAGTCAATTGCTATAGGCTCTGGTCCAAACATCCGTAAGATCGAAAGCCAGCCTGATGCTCCACCATCTTTTTCTTTTTCAATAGGTGATCAGAACATTGAAATGATCACCAACACAAGATACTTAGGTGTTCAGATAGACAGTAAGCTCAACTGGGACAAGCATATCGATACTATTAAGACCAAGGCTAATCGAGCCCTTGGACTTATTAAGTATTCTAAGAAATATCTTCCATCTGACATCCTCAACAAAATTTATAGAGGAATTGTTGAGCCCCATTTGAGCTACTGTTGTTCCGTTTGGGGCTGCTGTAATGAATCAAAGCTTGACGTGTTGCAAAAAATCCAAAATAGAGCTGCCAGAATTGTAACTAGCAGCCCATACGATGCGTCTGCTGCTCCGATTATTCAGAATCTTGGCTGGTTAACCATCAGAAATCTTGTAAGAAAGGAGACAGCCACGCTAACTTACAAATCTCTAAATATGCTTGCACCAGACTACTTGAGAAAATTATTCGCAAAATGTTCGGATAATAGAGAACGGTTTCTGCGTTCATCAGAAACTGATCTTAAGATACCGCTGCTAAAAACAATAAATGGCCAAAAGGCTTTTTCTTATCGCGGTCCAAAACTGTGGAACAGTCTAGAAAGGGCTACCAAATTGGCCCACTCCCTGAAAACCTTCAGAGAACAACTATAGTCGGGGACAACTTTTATTTCATCTTTACGTTCACTTTTTATAGCCTTAATATTATTAAATATTGTAAATTAGGTTTGATTGGTAAATTTCTTTGGTTACTAGTATTTTAACATAGTTATTAGCTCTTATTTTGATCTTTTAAACAGGTCAGGTTGAAAAACATATATATGAACCTTTAACCTGTATAGATATTATAAAATGAAAAAAAGCAATGATTTTGAAGAGCGGAGAAGCAGCGACACCTAATGGTAAAGGAGCGGAACTCTAATAAACAAAATACAACAACTGATTTGCATCATTACGCAAAATTGAAAAAAATGTTCATAAACAATTAAACTTTTAAAAGCTGTCGATAAATATTGCAAGGAAAACGATAAAGAATTGTGAATGTACCCTCGTACCGACCGATTTAAGCAAGACTTGCAGCGGTAAAGAAATAATGTGGCTTTATGGCCCTGCACTGAATGTCTGCTTTCCAAGAAAATTTTTGATCTGAGAAAATGTTACCAAATGTCATCCATGTTTTATAAATCGATCGGTGGTATCTCCATGCAAACATTTTCCCCATTGAAAGTAAACATGTTGTATTTCTCTTTATTCGAAAATATTTGTGTCTCAAGAACCAGCTTGTAAAAAATTACCAGGTTTTATTGGCCCATTTTAACTGAGACCAAGTCACCTGACTTTGCTGTTCTCCGCTTATCTGATATCAGTTGATTTTTGTTGAGCTATGATCAGGCAATTTCTGGACCATATCGATGAGCTATGTTAAAACTGGACAGGAAAGACCTTTTTTGAATGAATGAACGGAAAGGGTGTCTGACTACACGAATGATTTGAAATCAATTAGTTCTGCAATGTTGCTATACAGTATCTCTACTATATTAATACTATACAGTATCTCTACTATATTAACACTATATAGTATCTTTTCTATATTAACACTATACAGTATCTCTACTATATTAACACTATACAGTATCTCTACTATATTAACACTATATAGTATCTCTACTATATTGACACTATACAGTATCTCTACTACACTTACGTTCAAAAAGTATTGGGACGAATTCGATAAACGAATTATGGCGTTCCGTTGGATTCGGTTTTGCAACGGAAACTTTTTCAGATTTGGGCAGTCTTTCTACAAATAATCTAGGCCTACGTTTCCCCAAAATGGAATAAAAAGTTAGGAAAATGCTTCAACTTATGAAGCATAACCAAGAAAACAAAGGATTCTTTCGATTTTCCTGATTATAACAACAAAATATGCAGAAGGGTTGTATGGCCTAACAATGGCAAAGTCACATGACCTTCCAAACATTTTAGAGCTGTCCAAACAAATACAACTTTTTAATTTCACGTTTGCATAACAAAAAAAATTATCAAAGAAATTATAAAATCAAACTTTTAAGCTTCAAAAAAAGTTTACTTCATCGACGAAAATGCTACAATTTTATTAAATTATTGCATTTATTCAAGCTACTTTTAAAATTGCGTAACTTTCAAGGAGAAGCCATTGAACTCATCGTCGATGATTAATTTTAACTTTGAGAGAGCATTTGTTTTTCTTATAACGCTGGAAAATTTGTATTTTTCATAACTTTATAGCCATGTTTTTGCTTATGTTCCATTATTTAGCTTCTTTTTACATGACAACATGATGTCTGGTAAGGATTGAAACCTATTACTTCGCAGTTCCCTCAGTAAAGAACTGTCGTCCCTCGGCGTCGTAAACTTCTTCGGTCTGCCAACCCTTGGTAAATTTTTTACTGTTTTTGTACCGAAAAACTTTTTACACACCAGAAAAGCTGCACTCAATGAGCAGCTGACAATTGATGCAATATCGTGAAATCCATTTGCTTTATTTCAGTAGAAAGCAATTTGTATACGCTTCTCTTTACTCAGTTCTTGAGTTTTCAGAGCTTCCATGTTTTCGTCTCGAGACCTATAGAAATCTTATGGT